GTGACTTGGGATTCGCGCATCTCCTAGAAAAACAGCAGAAGCACATGAGTCCTGCAGCGCTTTCCAATGCTTTATTCTGCACTTTTGTTTCCTTCTTTTTCTAGTTTTTTGGTTCAAGAAGGACAATGGTAGGTAGCCGGGTTAAGAAGTGCAAAAAGCAGCGTGCCAATGCCGCCGGAAATGCCATAATCCTAACCGACATCGATACGGACTCTGAAGCTATGGAATACAAGGTCAGACTACCACACGGGCTACCGCTGGACATGAATGCACCCGTGCACTCAGTGGCCAAGGATGACCCGGTAGAACAAGAATGTGAACTACTCCTTCAGCAAAGATACATTCCATTTGAAGTTTTCCCATGGCTCTCCACAAAGCTCAACTCAGAATTCCTTCGAGCATCTGCACTCACCCGAGCAGGCAGACGAGCAACAGCCTATACAGTTGGCACATACTACCACGCGGGCAGCATCGGAGTACGTACCAACACAAGGCAGAGACCATGGACGGCAGCTACACTGGCATACATGTTGCGAGCATGCACTCACACGTCGTTTTCAACGGTGTCCCTATTGCTCAACATACACATGCGCACTCATCGAGACAAGTACAACAAGCCAGGAAGCCTCAATGTAGTGATCCCAGTATCAGCTTTTCGACAAGGACACCTACACGTATGGATAGAGGAAGACAGTGGACCAGATCTTTCTCCGAATGGACAACATCGCGGACGTAACATTGAACTCAAGTTGCCCGGAGTTGAGTTCAGCCCATTCAAACTCCACGGCACATGTCCATGGAAATCAGATCGATTGATCATCTCAGCCTACACCACCAATCGCATCGAGGACATATGCAGCGAGGACAAGCGATACCTCCAACAGCTTGGCTTCAACCTTGCCTAATTCGACTCAGTACAACACTGTGGACCCAATTCAATGCCGAAAGTATGATGTGACTGCCGAAAACAGATGCATCTCTATGCAAATTTGTCGTTCCGTGTTCATTTGTATCTCAGCTAATATTGCGTACCTGTGTCTCAAGCGTTTAAGCAGCTCTTGGCCCCCCGATCTAGCCAGCGACATTGCCAATGCTTTGTGGACGCAGCACGTGGTATCCAGAAGAAGCAGAACATCGCACAGACGTACCGACAGCCCAACTCAACGACATGTACCAGGTGGTGAATCAACTCAGCATTTCGCAGCTCCTGGAGTTGGCCGAATACGTGGCGCGCAGACTGCGCAATGCCACCCGATTCATGTTCGGTGGCGTCAAGTGTGTTATTCCATGTCAGCAGTGTGAGGCCGCAAACTACTGCGATCCCAACTACGCCGTCCAAACATGCGCCCACGTCACATTCACAAAGCTCTGAAGAAAATCATATTTGGCATGGACGACATCTATGTGGTACCACGCAGACTAAACTAAACAGACAGAGGACCATGAGCGGCGATCAGAACAAGACCGAGCCAGTCTCAATTCAGCATGAACATTTTCTGCTTGCTGGTATGATTTAGACCGTACCTTTGTAATCTTTTTCTTGTTAACCTTTTTCTTGTAAGCCATCCTTCTCAAGCACGGTGTCGCCCCCTCCCCAGTGACCAGTCACTTTGCACAATGCGCCGGGGAAGACGCACATCGGATGGAGAACGCCACGATGAAACACCGCGACAAGCAGGCCCTACACAGCTCGACAACATGTACCAAATTGTCAATCAACTCAGTATGGTGCAGCTGCTGGAGCTCGCGGAGTACATCATTCGGAAAATAGCACGAGAGTCACGCTACATGTTCGGAGGCGTCAACTGCGCATGCAATTGTCAACAGTGCGAAGCAGAGCACCGCAGCAACCCCGACCTTGCCATCATGTACTGCTCTCACACGTCGCTATCGCAGAGTTCTGAAGACCACCATCAGCGACAAGGACGGCATCTTTGTTGGTTTCACGAAGACTAAGATATGCAGCAGGACAGCGCCCACAAAAAGGAGACGAGACATCACTTGTCTTCCATCCGCCAGATTGTATGCGAGAACATCACACATTTCTGAATTCACCATCACTGCAAGTCCTTCTGGTTCCAATAGGTTCCTTTTGTTGTAGTCCCATAGTAGTAAACCAGCCATGCCGAAGCGAAAAGCGGGAGAAGCTGGACTTCCATGGTACTCTATGCGAAGTCAGTGCTTTCGGATGACAGTTGAAATTCCACCTGACCGAATCACCAGGGGCAAACATATGCTCCTACATGTGGTGCTTTGTCTCGGAGATACTGTACTGCAAGCGCGGAAAATCTTCTCATACCGCATCAAAGAGATCACCGGCAGAGTACCAGAAATCCCAGGCTTCTTCTTCGAACAAAATCGACGACGATTACATGATTGGGATCCGGTTACATCTATGGCAACGCTGAAGCCGGTGCTCTTCGTTCGGACAACCTCAGACCAGGAAGTGCGGCAGCAGCGATGAAAAAGAAGAGTCCGCAGCCCCTCCGATGGAGGTCAGTGTGTGTGGGAAACCCAAACTACAACGGGACAGTGACATTGAGGTTAGAGCTCACATTGTGCAGGGGCAATGGCGCTCTTACTCCTAGCCATGCTAACAAAGCTATGGAGTTCGAGTGGATGGAGTCACTGACGAGTGACTCTGTACCTGCAGGGTTGCACCTGGATCCATGATTGGATAGCTGGTGGACCCAACAACGTCGGTTTTGCACAGTTGCCGCAATCTGATCGTACAGGTGAAGGTTCCAGGTGCTCCTTGGCTTCAACAACGATAAGAGCCTCTTGAAGCCCCACGGCAACATTTTCATCTTGAAAGTTCTCAGCGAGTTCTGAAGATTGAACTCTATGCTGAGTGAAATTGACCACGAATGAACATTCTACCAGGGAAGCCTGGGTGTTCGAGTGTGTGTCTATGTGTGTGTGTGTCTATGTGTGTGTGTCTGTGTGTCTGTGTCTGTGTGTGTGTGTGTGTGTGTCTGTGTGTCTCTGCCTCTGTGTGTCTCTGTCTGTGTGTCTGTGTCTGTGTGTCTGTGGCTGGGTGTCTGTGTCTGGGTGTCTGTGTCTGTCTGTGTCTGTGTGCGGCATGCGTGTAAGTGTATGTGCATATGTTGGTGCACATATGGTTGCTGTGTATGCCCGTGTGTTTACACTCGTGTATGTAGCAAACCGCTCGAAAGGGACTAGAGAATCTGACCTACAGGCAGGAGAGGGACTAGAGAATCTGACAAACAGGTAGCGAACAGCTCGAAAGGAACTAGAGAACCCGACAAAAAGGTAGCAAACCGCTCGAAAGGGATTCGAGAATCTGTCAAGCAGGTAGCAAACCCGGTAGCAAACCGTGAAAGGGACTAGCGAATCTGACAAACAGGTAGCAAAGCTGCTCCCGTGATGTTCCGGACAGGACTGCCATCTCGTTGAACCGTTTTCGTAGACGAGTCGCCGGCTTGTTGTTGCAACAACATCCAAACTTGCAATGGCAGTCAATGGCTATGAGACGTCGTTGGCTATACATGGGACATGTGCTTAGGCAGAAATCCTCTCACATCACGCTGGCCGCTTTGACATCTCTCTCTCAACCCTTCGCACATACGCGACCTGGACCATGGACCAACGTTCTTTCCTGGCTGGTCAAAACAAGTCGTAGTTTGGGATGGGTGAGTCCGCAGGGCACTTGTACTCTGGATGATTTGAAAGCACTCGCGGCTGATCGTGAGAAATGGTCGTCAGCAGCATCCTCGGTTGAAGCGCAATGGCAAACAGAACCTAATTGTTCATGCACCGGTGTGGGCGTCATGGAGGGATCCACTCCGGGTATCTCTCAACTGGTATCGGTGTTGCTATCTACAATTGCACCATGATGGATTTCATCTTCGCTGGATATGCGAGGAAGAGGGAGTGCAGGATTATTTTAGTGATGATTTGTACGATTGCTTCTGCAAGTTCGTTATGCTACGATTAGCCATGCACTGTGCGATCCAGACGCGTTGGATGTTGTGCTGCCACAGCTCCCCAATCTCATTTGCAACTTTTATCAAAACACGGCGGTAATGCTGGTGTTCTCGCAGGTTCCTCTAACATGGAGTGCATGTGCGTTTTTCCTTTAATCTGCTGGTGTTTGCAGTGCGGTTTGCTATGGAAGCAAGCTGCGTTATGCACATACCTTTCCCGTCGTAAGCCTTGGCCTCAGCACGGGTTCAAAAAAAAGTAGCAAACCGCTCGAAAGGGACTTCAGAATCCGACAAACACCTCGAAAGGGACGAGAGGATCCGACAAACAGAAGCAAACCGCGCGAAAGGGACTAGAGGATCTGACAAACAGTGCTATAGCAGACCGCTTGAAAGGAGTAGAGAGTCTGACAATCAGATAGCAAACAGCTCGAAAGGGACTAGAGAATCTGACCAACAGGCAGCAAACCGCTCGAAGGGAGCAGAGAATCTGACAAACAGGCAGCAAAATGGTCGAAAGGGGCTGGAGAATCTGACAAACAGGTAGCGAACCGCTCGAGAAGGGCTAGAGACGCTGACAAACAGGTAGCAAACCGCTCGAAAGGGACTAGAGAATTTGACAAATAGGTGGCAAACCGCTCGAACGGGACTAGAGAATCTCACAAAAGCAGGTCGCAAACTGCTCGAAAGGGACTAGAGAATCTGACAAACAGCTAGCACACCGCTCGAGCGGTACTAGAGAATCTGACAAACACGTAACAAACTCCTCGGAAAAAACTAGCGAATCTGACAAGCAGGCAGCAAACCGCTCGAAAGTGACTAGAGAATCTGACAAAAACAGGTGGCAAACCGCTGGAAAGGGACTAGAGAATTTATAAGAATACACACACAGGTATATACATATTTATATATATATATACATTTATTTATTTATTTATTTATTTATTTATGTACACGTGGGTTACGGTCGTTTGTATGTGTGTGCCTGAGTGGATTCACGGCAGGCGTCTGCCTGCCTCAAGCAGCTGCGCCATTCCAGTGCAACTTGTGCTCCAGGTTACCCGTGAAGGCGGCAATCACACAGTGACGGTCGTGCTCACCTGGTGTACCGGAGAGGCCGGGCAAGGTTGCAACAGTCGCACATCTGAGTTCTAGCTCGTGCGCATCAAAGCCAACTTCAAGTGTTCAGTCAGGTGGAATGCTCGGAATGCCCGGTGCTTGAAGATCTCACGGCGATCCGGCCCGGAGAAGCCCATATTCTCCGAGGCTCTCTTCACGCATTCTCACGTGTGAAAAGCGGAGTGAGGCCTCGCACAACTGAAGATCTTCGTGTTGAGTCAGGCCCGGCGCCACCAGAGTCCATTTGTTTCCGTGCTGCCCCAAAGCCCTTGGCACCAGGCCGTCGTTTGCCAGGACGACGCACGTTCGCCGCTTGAAAGTTCGATTCCAGACGTCAGACACCTGCCCCACAGCAAACAGTGAGGTTGGCGGAGACAGGGGTCCTCAAAGGGCTCGGCCTGGGTTGGAGCCGGCGATGGCGCCAAGACATGTGCTCGTGTTGCTGATTCTCGGCAACGACAACTGGGGCTGAGCTAGTCACGGCAACTCTTCATGCAGACACAAGCAAGATCAGCGCTCAAACAGCCGACATCGTCGGGACTAGCTCTTTTCTTGTTGATGGCCTGGCTTTGCAGAAACCTGCAAGGTTTACGTGCCAACCTGATTAGCTGACACAGAAGAAGGGTCCAGCATTTGACGACCTGCCATGCTCGAATCCAGCTCTCAGCAGGATAAAGCATCCACACTCTCACAATCCGATGAGCATTGGACTGTCTTCACAAAGTGGCCACGACTATGACGATTAGCCCTGCCAAGCCTAAGCCCTGAACCCTAATCATTTGAGTAGAAACCTCCTTCTCTGACGCAGAGCTTCGGCTTTCCGCTGCTTTTTTTGTGGCTCCAGCCAAAGGGAGCCCTGCTCCGGGCACGGCCCCGCTGCTGAGGCCGGAGCGAACGACGATGTGAAGCAGTGAGAACTACTGCCACCACTATCATGATTTTTGTTGAACGGTGTTAGTCTCGTGACTTTTTCTATCACTTGTATCATCCTTTTCAATCATCCCGCCGTCCATCACTCATCGGCTCACCTATGACACATCCGACACCGCTGAATGTGGATAATGGTCGAACATGTGATCCAGCCTTGGTCGTAGAACTTCTGAGCCCAGTTTCTGCGTGTCTGCAAGTTCGCCTGAGAGGTCCCATGGCTGCGCCTTCCGCGGCGGCGGCCGCCGGCGCCGCCGCGGCCGCCCTCCTCCAGCGACAACTCCTGCACACCTGGCGTCAACTCGGGTTGATGGGGTTCAAAAGTCCAATGACGGGGATCACAAAAAAGACTTGCAGACTCCATCGCCTTGCATCTATCTGTCTTAGTCCATCTCGTGCAATCTCACCCATTCACCCTCCGTTTCTCTTTCTAACTCTCTCTCTCTCTCTCTGTCTCCGGGTCCGCGTCTCGCTGCGGCTCTCGCTCTCCTCTCGCGCGCTCTCTCTCTCTCTCTCTCTCTCTCTCTCTCTGTCTCTCTCTCTCTCTCTCTCTCTCTCTCTGTCTCTCTCTCTGTCTCTCTCTCTGTCTGTCTGTCTCTCTCTCTCTCTCTCTCCCTCCCTCTCCCTCTCGCTCAGGCAAGGCACTGGTGGCACTGGCGGTAGCGAGCAGGGCTGGAGTGAGCATCAGACTGGAGATGGCCGAAAGTTCTTTCACAATGAGGTCGGGCGGGTGAAATTCTGAAAGACGAGGTCAGAAACATCAATATCTCGTTCTCGTGTCCTTCTTGTTGTAGCTACACAAACATCAACCCCCCGAATGTGCAAGCGTGCGTGCTGGCGCTTGTACCGCTTGTTCTCAACAACACGAGCCGTCAAGCAGCAGTTGAAGCCACGAGTTGTATGAAAGGAGCAGCCAACCACTGTCGCTGCTTGCATATACAGGGCCGGAATTCTTCCAATGTTTGCGGCTGCACTTTCCCACCCATTACCGACATCAATCCACGTAGATGCAAGCCGTTGCTGCGATCAGACCGTCCGAAGCCTGGAGGAGACCGGTGTCTCGCAATGGGAGAAGCCCGAGTCACTGATGACCGACAGCGAGCGGATTGTCAACTCCACCGCATGGAAGCAGTATCGGAGACTGGGGTGCAAACGGCTCTGACGTTCCTCTGCTTTGTGTGCTGACACGATCGACTCGGCTGCATGCGCATATCTAAGGATCTGGGATGGCCGAATCTTCTACCATAACAAGGCTGAGGGGTGTGAAGCTTAGGGACGGCAGTCAGAAGCCATGTTAACATGGCAGTTTCCACGTGACAGGAGACAAAAGTTAGCTGCTGGAGCATGCCGCCGGAGCTGTGCCGGGATTGCATGAGGTGAAGTCACCCACCAAGAAACCGCAACGGAGCCCAACCTGAGGCGCAAGCTCCGTGGCGAGAGCACTGGGCTTGACGACCGGCCCTTGCCGGAAACTCTCGCAGAGCAACGACAAGCCTTCCAGGAAATTTCGGGGAAGGGGCTCCTCTGTGCTACCGACATCCAGTGACACGATGCTGACACTGTGCCCAGGAGTTGCTAAAGGAGCGGCACGTTGATGCTCCTGCGCAGCAACTATATCAGATGAATCACTCAATTCCAAAATTGATGCAGGGTTAGTTCGGCGTATCCTTTCTTCTGCTCTTGCACTTTAACATACCATTTTGCCATGGCCGTACAGTGCAACCGGTTAGGACAGGACACGCGTGCGCGCGTGCTTCTCGCTTTTCCCATTTACCGGCCCAGGCGACATGGGACTGGCGACGGGTTCAAGAGTTGGCCCGTGACGCCCCCCAAGCTGAAGGTGTTAGCAGCCCGTCTGCACGTGCAACTTTGCCTTCCTGGACTTTTGAAAAGAGGTTCCGCCGGTCAAGACGAGCCTATGTCATTTCGGTAGCAGAGTTTTTCCATCGGCCCAGTATCAGAGTGCTGACTGGCGGGTGAGTGGTCCTTCTGCTAGGTGAGCCCGTCCAGAAGCAAGTCTTCGCAGATCCTCGGGCGGCACTCAACGCCTTGTTCCTCTGAGATCCTACATTCCGTGCGGTTGCCCTGCAAGACTACATGCTCGACTCTATATGCAATGCGTAATCTGAGGAGCTTCTGAGTCTAGCTCTGAAGCGAACCGAGACGGAGGCGGCAGCTACGCAACACTGTCTTTCGTGGTCAGTGATGGAACCTTTTTTTGGAGACACATTCGAGCCTAAGGGACCCAAACCCAAGTCGGTGGTTCACGGGTATCGACAGCTAACCCCCACAACCTCGCAGCTGCGTGTATCAGCATGCCGGCACAGGCCTCAGGCTGAATTTCGCACGTCTCAAGAGGGATGAAAATTGAAAGGCCTCTGGAAGGAGGTGAGGCCGTGTGGCCTTGGCCGAAATGAGATCGACCTTAACGCAGACCCTTGATTTGCAAAGCCCCTTCCCTTAGGCGCTCAGTGAGCTTTTGTGTTGCTGTCCATGATCTACTCATGAAAAGCTGGGATGCGGCTACAGGATGCCTGTCGCACTCATCCGAGTCCAGAGTTGGTTACCTGTGGGCAATCGCAGTCCGAGCGTGAAGTTTGTTACGGCGTGTTCTGTGTCTCGCCGATGAGCGATGTATCACAAGACTGCCATTGTGTTCATTTGCCAGGCGCGGGCGAAAGCACGCAATGCCGCCGTAGCACTCGAGCGATTGGTCGAAGAGCGCTTTGCAGATCCGGATGCTTTAGGCAGACCGGCGGGGCAGTGACGAAAGATCGGGAACCGGCAATCGACTGCGTGGTCACCTTTGCATTGCAGGCACTACCTACGAGGAGGCAGCTCGCATCCTAGGAGACGAGGAGGCAGGGCCAAAGGACAACTGCGTAGCGTATAGCCAGCGGTTCTTCAGAATTTGCTGCTGCCGGGAACATGTTTCATCACTTTGCCATTTGCCATGCTGCTCTGTGAGCTCGGGGCGGTCCCGTCATTGGAAACATGCAGGCATGGACGTTGATCAAGTCCGACGTTCGGCGCGATGAGGTTTTCCAAACTGCTGCTCGACGCAACGCCCGGACTGCTACACTTCGAAGGGCGGTCAAAAGCAATAGAGCAGATTGCGAAGCCATGCAAAGTACATCTCAATGTAGCCATGGGTCGTTTGCTACTGACGGATGCCAAATCATTACGCCATTACACTGCATGTATGGCCTATATACATGTGGGGAACCATTACTAGATCATCGATTGGCACGTTGGTCTGCTCACATTTTGGGCAAGCCGCTCAGGTCATGGAGCGCTTGGAAGAGAAGCACGAGAAGCACCGCGCAGACAAGAGAGCAGACCTTCGGAAAGCATTCGATTCGGGATCTGTGCGGGTGTCCTGGTGCCGGTGCAGCTTGTGGCAATATCGTCATTAACGAAAGAGAAACTCGTTTCCCTGCTCGAGTCAGAGTCTCTCTCTGCTCCCTTCTGCATCTCCGGCTCTTTTCTCCCTTACAAGCGAAGCCGCGATTAGCAAGCAGATGTTAACTTCTTGGATGCATAAGACATCTCCATAACGTCCTTCCGTGGGGCTACGAGGAGCGCGTCGTGCGACTCCAGCGGCTCATGGCGACAGACCCAGAGCTGCGGAGGCCGAGGATGCGCTGGAAGGCGCGTGCGAAACAGCAGATCTCTGGGATCTTGGTTGGCACTTCTCTCCTGATTACGATCTGACTCGGGCACAAGTGCACACCCAACGCCTACAGGATGCAACAGCCGTCCTGGCCAGACGTGATGAGTTGCAGGACTGCCTGGAAATGTCTGCATCATGTGTCATGGGCAGCTCAACGGTTCGAAGCGTGGCAATGATTGAACGGAGGTAGTTGGTTGACATGCCGTGTTGTTCAAGAGTTGGACAACTAGCATCAGCATGTTGGTTGGGCGAGAAGCCCTCAGAAAAATCACTTTCCTTGCAAAACGGGCGCTCTCAGGAGGAGGAGCCACCCATCGAGGCTCTTCGCGTTTGGGCTTCCATGCGCGAGCTCAGGCACGTTCACTTGAAGAGCAACCTCTGCCAGTCTTCCGAAGACAACATCATGTCCTTTGCCAGTAGCCGGAGTTTTCCTGCAGAACGCTGGTTCAATCGACATGTTCCTGTCTCGAATGAATTGTAAGGACATATGAAGTTAGATGGCACCTGAACCGTTTCAGTGCACAGTAACGACAACGTCATCTCTTATGTGTGCGTGTGTGACACCCATCATACATGTAGATTGCAGAGGCAACCAGCCACCAGGGAAGTGGATCCCAAGAACAAAGCCCAAGCTGACTTCTTTCGCGACGAGCGGAAGCGTGCCTCGAGAGCATGTCAGAAGTGCTCCAAGCTGCTTTAGCCAGGATGCAAGCGGAAAGCTCACAGGGTGAAAGTATCGCAGGGGTAGTCCGAGCAAGAGCGCATTATTGCTGTCGGAGCCTTCTCTTCAACCGAGGCCGTGATGCTTTTGTCCTCTCAATGAAGGCTGCAGGGTTCGAACCGCTTTCGTGACGTCTTGGAAATTTGACATAGGTGCGTTGCTCGGGCTCCTTGCCCCCCAAAAGGCTATCCTTCTTTGGTACTGCCTAGAACCGCGTCTTCCAGAAGACCGCCAGACTCCTCAATCAACCCCCGGCGGTGGCCAGTTGTCGAACGGCATGCCAGGAGCTCGCGGCAGCCGAGCGCTTCACGATGGGGACCAGCTGGGCACAATTGGAGGCACATTTTGCTTACTCCAGACCTACAGTAGCACTTTCAAGAAAAGCCGGTCTTTCTCGAAAGGTTTGGCATATTTCAAGCATGTATACGGGTGTAGACACGAGGCAGCCAGAGATGCATCGTCCTCCTCATCGTGCTAGAAGTTCGTTGAAACGGAGAGGAGAGACAGAGGTAGGGAGAGGCGGGAAGTGTGCCCGAGAGACGCAGAAAAGACTTGAACTGTAACCCAGCGCGCGGACCCGCACAGGAGTGGCCCTCAGGAGTGGGGTCCGTTGGTTTTACTCTTAAATTGGGCAGTTTAAATGCAATCGCGATTCTCACACACAGAGTCCACGAATGCACGCGCACGCAGTCGTTTCCTTCATTCTCGAAGGCACTCTGAGTGCCTTCCCCCGTCTGCAAAATGAAGCCCAACAGATTGTCGATGCGTCTGGCAAAAGAGTTGGAAAAGGGACCATGTTGTTTGTGGCAAGGAGCTAAAACAACACTCTCGTGAGATGTCGTGAGCCTTGCCTACTACTGGTATCACAAGTCAGATGAATCACCAGAGACTACCGAAAGCAAAACGAGCAAATGAGGATGTCAGTGGGAACACCATGGTCAGGGATGGTCAGAGCAGGTGATTCGCATGCCTTTGTGCATGCATGCGGGTGTGCATCCGCGAATGTACGTGCGCGCGTGCTCCGACGAAAAAACGTGACGGACAAAGGCAAACAGAAGCAGACTTCAGGCAGCTGTGGGCATTCTTGTCATCTCGCCTGTATGCTCGGCATTGCTCGGCTACATGTCCGAGTTCGGGTCGTGTTCAAAGTTCCAGACTTCACCGGCGTTCAGGAGATGCTTCAGGCTTCCGGGGATCAGCGCATTGCTGGGCTTCGCGAGGGCGAGGGCGCTGTGGCCATGGAGTGCCTCGACGGAAGTGGCGCTTCAATCAATCGCATACCAACAGAGCCCAGACCACAGACCTTGTGCCGAGGCTTTTTGATGAGTTCGTGGAGGAGATCAAGCTCAAGGGCGCGGAGGTCCGTTGACAAAACGTCTAGAGTCTACAGGGCCTTCGAAAGACCAGGCAGCAGCAGTAGCCCCAGGCTTACGCAGGCGTCGAACCCGCACCACCGCCGCCGGAGCCGATCGTGGTGACCCGACTCGTTTGCCCCTGGGAACGGCAATAGGGTTCGTGCATGTTTGGGTTTCATGTCGTGCAGCTCTACCTGTACTGAACTCATGTCATCCAGCAGCCTGACGCACCGGGCGATTTCAGAGCCCAAGTCACTGGAGTTTGGGTTCAAGCCTGTGGGCTGCAGACTTGCGCATCAGCCATGGGAAACATGATGGGAACCTTGGCTGCAGGGGGTTCTACTTTCATTTGGCCACGTAAGTGCTCAAGCCTGACCCGGCAGCCGGCCTAACTGCACAGAGAGAGTTTAAGCCCACCACCCGAAACACCCGTTTCATGTCCATTCATGTCCTGTCCAGGTGCCGGCAAGCCCGAAGACGAGAACCAAAGAGCGGCAAGTGCGGCCAGACAGCAGCACAAATAATGCATGGTCCGGCTGCTTTCCCCCACTTCCATGCATGCCGAGTCTTTCCTGTCAGCTGGAAGTCTTGACATTTTCAGGGAATACTGGCAGCACCATGATAAGTAACAGTAAGAGGAGCAACCAGTAGACGTGTGAGTATGTGTTAACTTGACGCATCTCCAGCAGATTCTAGCATCGCATGGCCACCTGACGGGCAATCCTGTCTTGCGTGACAAGGAAGTCAAATCTTTATACAAGATGCATACGTTCTCTGTCCGACACTTCCAGCCGAGTCGACGGAACCGGCTCCACTCCGCTGTCCTTTGCAACCCAGACTTTGTTCGGAGCCGAGGCCAACCCGCGCTGCGAACTTCGCAGCACAGAGGAGCTGCTGCGTGCAGCCCCCAAGGCCGTCTTAGCTGAGCTGGATACGTCTTGCGTTGCACGAAGCGCTAGGAAGTGGCGCGGTGTGAGGTGGAGTTGCATGTGCACCTGGACGGTTCCTTTGATGCTGGAGTGCTCTTCCGTGCTGCGCAAGCTCATTTAGAGGCCTGCACGACGGGTTCTTGAGGGCTCCCAGCGAAGACTGTCATTCAGCTGAACAGCTCACAACAAAACATGGCTGCGGCTCAAGCTGCGAACAGGCGCATCTGCACCCCAGATCACCCCAGAATCTTCGCTGCCCTCGTATGCCATTGTCGCCTACGTCGAGGCTCACCACACGCGGCGAGCCAGGGCGGCGAGCGGACATTGTCCACGTCGTTTTCGACTGCGTGCTCTGCCGTTCGCTGGCCTCGCCGCTGTGAGTGCCTCCCCGCGTCGGACGATGGAGCGCTTCACGTGGGCGTTGCGTTTTGGCAGCAACAGAAGGAGATTCTGAAACACGGACGAGTGCGGGCTGGAGGACAAGATGATGCCTCCCTGGGGGCCATGCTCCCCATCGGAGTGGCTGTGGCCGTGGCCTTGTTTGTCCCTGCCGCTGGGAACCTCCTATCCCAAAACATGGCGTCGAAGAAACTACAGCCCGAGGGGCCCCGGCCGAGGCCACGCCAATGCTGACTGAACGCAAAGCCTGAAGAGGACGTGGCAACGAGCATGGCCGCGGATTGGCCGGAAGGCGCCAAGCCCGTGGACGACAATGATAGAAAAAGAATAGATAGTACTGCAGCACGGCTCTTGATTACAATTGGCGAAGATGTGAGGCAACCTCGATGGCAATGCATGGCTTTCTGCTTCTGAACCGTTTTTTCTCTGCGGAGAGCTGAGCCCTTCACACCGATCTTGGGACACATCTGGTGTTTGCTGCCATACTTGAAAACACAGCGATCCTGGGGATGCTGTTGAACACGGGCGCACACAAGGACTTCACGACCACCGTTCGTGTCACGGCACTCCACTGGGTCGTGGTGGTCACTCGGAGCTGCTCTTGGAGGCCGGTCTGGCAAAGACTTGAAGGAGAACGCTGGACGGCTCAACCCATGCGGCATCCGAAGGCTGCATGGACGACGGCCGCATGGAGTGCCTGCGGCTCTCCTTAGAGCAATGGCGACAGCATTCCATTCCACCGCATATAACTACGTAACTACTTCGCACCAGCAGCTCCACATTGGGGGGCCGGGGGTGGGGGGTGTGAGCAGGGCTTCGGTGCTGCACGCCTGAAAGCCGCGGTGCAGCGAGGGAGGAGAAGGACAGCGACGGCAAGACCGCGCTCGAAGGCAAAACGACGGCTGCATCGACAGTTTTCGACCTCCACTCGTAGTCTGAGGCTCGCAGTCGTGAGCAGAGTGAGCTTCGTTTGCCCACCATCACGGATTCAGACGGTGGCAAATGAATTCGCAACAAGCTCTACGCCTTGGCGATAAAACCTGTGCTTGCTGCTGTTGTAGTCTTCTGAAGTCCTCGCCGGGTTTTCTTCGGTAGCAGAGAGCAAGCTTAGCAAGATGCAAACATACATCAATCCAATTCCGGGGCGAGAGGAGCTCCCGGAGAAAGTGCGGACACCATGGGATGGCAAGATGCTGGAAGTGCCTCGGATCGGATGTATCCATTCCTTCTCCGTTTCTTCACGCATGCGCAAGCAAAGCCCAAACGGGCTCTCCAGGTGCGAAAGGCAGTGCGCGAATGTCATGGGGACTTGGCAAAGTTCACCTCCCTGGTCACCGACACTCGGCAGAGATTTCATTAAGTAAGGACAACAGAACGATCCGACGAACTTGCTGCAGACAACCGCAAGTAAGTAGCACTGCCGATGGTTTTGGCAAGATTGCGAGGTTGAAAATGACAGACTTCCTCAATTGTCAGCCTGTTTGCACTAGAGTCGCGGACTGGAAAACATTCGCGAGCACGCCAAACATGTGACTTTAGTGCATGACTCAGCGCTTCTCATGTGCCTCTCTGTCCAGTTTGCCGTGGCATTGCGCTGCATTTCTACAACCCCTGTGGTGAATCTACTGCGTTGTCTGAGTTACCCCTGCCAGACTTGAGCGACCACCTTCGCACCTCCTCACAAGGGTGATTGGAGAAAGTGAGGTTGGGAGCGACATCATCGGCTTGTTTCCCATACTCGACTGCTTCTACACCTTCTTGCCCATTGTCCGTGGCCGGTTCGCTTTGCTGGAAGAACTAGCTTTCGAGTTCTGCCGCGAGCGGAAGAAACACAACATCATCTACACGGAAGTGAGGCTCAGATGTTCAGTAGCAAGGGTGAAATCTAATGGTTGTTCCTGCATGTCGGGGTGCTTGCTTGTCATGCAGAATCAAGCTCGTAGCAGCTGTTGTAGCCGTGGTGGATCCCTGGAGGTACTCTCCCTTCGAGTTCCTCCCGCAAGGGGAGGATGGACAGATTGCAGATACCTCGAAAGCAGCAGATGCCGTCAAGGCATGTCTTCAAGAGCTTGACGATTTTCCTGAGACTCTGAGAGGCCGACCTCTGTCATAGCCACTTATGACCTCAGCCCGGTTCCCAGGCCGTGTGCGCAGGCCTGCAGAAGGGCAGGCTCCTGAGTTGACACGACAGAGCAGCATTGAAGGCATTGAAGCTACCCAGCTGAGAGCCGTGGACGTCCGTTGCAGCACTTCCACCAAGGCCAAGCCGAGTTTGGCGTGATGGTTCAGCAGATCCTGTGCTGCATTGCAGCGCAACCGGCGTGGTCCGCCCAGACGATGGCACTTGCCGAGGACGAAGCTGATGGATACCGGTTCCAAACTATTAGCTAGCTGTGTGCAGTGAGGCCATCTGGGCTTCATTCGATCCCCAGACCATACGAGTTGTGCTTGGTCTCAGGAGTTCAGAAACGAGGGTGTGGTTGGAGTAGACATCGCCGCTGGCGAGATGCACTTCGAGGCCTGCACGGGTCGAAAGAGGAGGGCATGTTTTTCTCGTTGTCCATTCTCCTCTTTTGGTGTGTGTTGTTTTCTTTTTGCAGGCCCCCGGTCCTCACTCCCGGTCCCCAGGTCCGCCTCTGGTCCCGCCGTTCTCCGATGGTCTCCTGCTCACACCATATCCTCATGAGGGATCAGGTTGAACATATGAGATCAACCCATCGCCTAACGAGGAATCGGGTTTACGAAATGGGAGCGAGGGCTCGGGTTTGCTAATATGGGATCAACCGGCAGAGCCTTATGACGGGATGTGATTTGGGAGCAACCGGCATTTCCAAATGAGGGTTCTCACGAAATAGAAGGCAAAAAGTGAGAGCTCGGAATAAAGATACGGGACCCACTGCAATCGTCAAATGCGTGGAGGGGTTTGCAAAACGGGGTCGACATCCAGTGCCGATCGCGGAGTCGAGTTTAAGAAGAATGGGATAAGCCGCCGTTGCCCAATGACGGGGCGAGTTTATGACATGGATCAACCACCTTCCCACTGAGGGCGATTTCGACATGAGATCAGCCGCCGCCATCTCCTACAAATGTAATCGATTTCCGTCGCCTAACGCGGTGTCCTGCCACTGCTACTGCTACTGCGACTCCGACTGCTACTACTCCTTCTTGTTCCTACTGCCACTGCTTTCTAACTACTTACGACTTACTAGCACTACTACTGCCACTACTACCACCACCACCACGACGACTACTACTCCTTCCTACTGCTTTCTACTAGTTACGACTTCAGGCAACTACCTACGATTATTCATTGCTGCTGCTTCCACTACTGCTACTGCTGCTGCTACTACTACTACCACCACCACCACCTCCACCACCACTACTACTGTTGTTGCTACTGCTACTACCGCTCCTAATTCTATGCCTCCGCTATTCTTCTTCTTCTACTACTACTACTACTGCTACGGCTACTGCTACTGCAACGAAACTACTTTTTTACTACTGCTGCTACTACTACTACTACTGCTACTACTACGACCACCACCACCACCATCGCCACTACGACTGTTTCCACTACCGCTAATACCACTGCCACTACTACCATTTTCCATTGGACGCTGTGCGTGGCCACTACTACCACTAGTAGTAGTAGTAGTAGTACTACTACTACTACTACTGCTACTGCTACTGCTACTGCTACTGCTACTGCTACTGCTACTGCTACTGCTACTGCTGCTACACCTACTATACTATGACGACGACGACGACGCAGAGGAGCAGAAGCCCACTATCAGCACATGTTTGTGTCGCGATAAATCTTTAAAGCATGAGACATGTTGCCATTTCAGCTCCTAGCAAAAGAGAGATGCCATGAGACGCTATCGTGTTGAAATCAGGAGAAGGTTGCATCAGAAGTGTTACGGGGCTCTCCGAGAGCATCAAAAAACGCAGGGGTCAACAGAAAACAAACAAGTATCGAAGGAGAGGCCACCCGTCCAAAGACCACACACCCACAAAATCCCTGCACACCTTCGTGGAAGATAAGTGGCACTTTGAGCTATGATCGTTTCTCAGCAGGTCACAAGACCGGGTGTCGTGAATTTGCTGGGCATGTGCTAAAATCATGTGCAGGACGGCGCATTGCATGATGCGCACCGGGATGCCATGGCTATGGCGCAAGAAAAGGGCCTCGGTATCACGGTTCATGCTGCTGAGGCTGGACCAGGCTCGGTTGGACAAGCTGTTGTCGTTGCATGGCACATCTTTTGTTTGGTGCTGTGAAAGAAAGCTGAGGTGACAACGTTTGCCGAGCAATGGATGTTTATGGTGCGACTCGAATAGGTCATGGTTACAGATCTGTGGGAATGCAGGCTTACGACTATGCCAGGAGCAAGGGCGTGCACTTCGAGCTATGTCCTACCTCCTCCGTTTCCACGCAAGCTATCGAGCTGGAGAAGGCAGATGGGTCACTTCAATGGAAAACACACCCAATAAGTCGCTTCTTTCTGGACGGCACTTCCTGCTCCATCAACTCGGACGATCCAGCAGTGTTCCGGTCTTCGCTTACCGATGAGCTTGTCATCTGCGTTAAAGAAATGGGTCTGAGCTTGGAGAATATCCAATGGATGACCTTGGAAGCTCTTGAGCATGCCTTCCACTTGGAGAGTGGTGTGAAAGACACCATCGCCGAAAAGGTGAAGGCTTTCTACGAGCAGACACTGAACTAAGCCCTGGCGCTGGCTTCTGGCTCGCCCCCGAACCTTGCATGCAGCATACCACTGTGGTTCACCGTCACGGGCCTGTACACTCATACACTACATGTACTGCTCGCATGAGCAGCAGAAGCCTCGTGCTGCTCAGCCGTTCTGGCGATCTGATGCGCACTACCTAAGGCTTGAAACCCTTTGCTTCCGGCGGCGCCACTCAGTGCTGGCGGCTGGCGGAGTGCATTGTTAATGTTGTCCCTGCACTGCAGCAAACGCTGCCGATGCAGTGGCACAATTCCTTTATCCTTAGGTCTTAAAGGTGCTCGTGGGAGCACTGCCTCTAGTCTAAGGCAATGACAGGAAGGAACCAAACACACTCGCAGAAGACCAAAACTAATCGCGGCAGCCTGGTCGTGCATTCATACTCGTCCCTGTTGCCGCGTGTTGACTCTCCATAGAAAAGCCGTATGCTCTGCATGTCCCCGACGCATTATTGCTGGTACCAACTCATTTGACAAGGACACTCCACCAACCTTCACAGCAACAAGTTGCAAGACGTGAACCGAACGTGCAGTCTGTGAATGCAGACCTTCACACGTGCAACCCGCAGTGCGTCCAGGAGCAGCTGATGTTTGAAAGAAGCTCGAGTCGCAAGCCAAGCCAGGAACCCCCACGGAAACGCCCGCGGTCCTCACGACTCTCGGCAGATGTGCCGCTGCCACCGGTGAAGCAGGCCAAGATGCCGCTTGGAGTTGTGGTACTAGAACGGAGGAAGCCACGCCTTGGCCCAATTTGAGATCTAAGCCCTGAAGAGAGATCCTTCGGGCAGGAGTTGCCTTCCGCTGCCAGGGCCCCAGTCTCTGCCGCCTCGGCGGGGGCTCTCTCTCGTTTTCGCCAAGCAACGGCTGCAAGGGGGCACCGAAGTCTCTCTACTCCAGTTTTGTCGGGGTTTTCCGTGAGACGAGGTGAAGATGGAGAAGGAGGAAGAGGAGGATGAAACTTGGATTGCAAGAGGTGATCTGGCGACAACGAATGCCGGCTGCGGCTCAGGACACCAATGCCCTCGATGCGCTCATTGCGGCTGCATCCTCCAGGAAACGTGTGGCCACCAAAACCGAGGCGGGCTGCCGGGCGCTGTGAGCGGACCATGCGTAAGCAGGCGTCAGGTTTGAGCGGCTCAGTGCCGGCCAGTAACATCCGGTAAGGGGCTGCGAAACACCTGTCGAACTTGAGCTCAGGCGGCCTGCGCAGGATGAATTGAACAACCAACCCTTCAGACTCGGAACACTGTGCGAGGATGAAATTTGCACCTTTTGTTGAAGGATGCCTTCTATAGCAAGTTGATGTACGACCAAGGCAGTCAAGGCGGAACCCGTCAAGACCGAGGCAGTCAAGACGGAGAAGGTCAAGGCCGCCGCCAAAACAGGGCACTGCCATAGTACTCACATCTGGAAGTAAGCAAAAGGAAAACTTGAGGACAGCATTGGGATGAAGCGGGAAGTATTAGATAACTGCTGAGAGTTGTTGCTGTCATTTATGTAAGGCGAGAGCGTTGACAATGGCTTCGAGTACGATTGTTCACTGCAAACACAGAAGCACAAGTAACGCTGCCGGAGAGGTATGCTTGGTGGTCGTTTTCGTGGTGGTGGCGGTAGCAACGGTGATAGTCGCAAAAGCAGTGGCAGTAGGAGTACTAACAGCTACGATCATGACTTTGTTGTTATTGTTGTCGTTGTTGCCATCGCGACAGTGTTTATGCTGGGTAAAGTGTTAATGAGAACACCAATGACCGGAATCGGAAGGTTCAGCCTAGCCTTTTCAGATCCACATTTCCGATCCTGATTCCGGCCTGCAGCCAGTAAGCCACCGAGGCCGAAGAGGAGGAGGACGACGACACGGAAGAGGAGGAGGATCCTCTTATGGGCCGTCGCCTTACCTTCTTGGATTCTGGTTTGGCTGTCTCAGACGCGGCTGGCTTGTATGCAAAATTCTCGAACTCACACGACTTGAAGTCGCTGGCAGCATGCTCCGTGCTCCACAGTGGTGGTGGCAAAGCGAACAGAAGAATCTCGAGACGAACTACACTGCACCGCAGTGATGGACGTTCCCGGTGTGGCTAAGGCGCAGCGCTCAAAGCAGCAAAAGTGAAGGAAGAAATGGACTGAAGACGCATAGAGCTTTGTTCAACGGATGTTCTGCCGGAGCTAGCGTAACTACTTGTACTTTGCATAGTTGTCATCTTGCCGCACATCAACAAGTCCTGAGACAGACACCGGCAAGACCTGCTCATTAGTGGATAGAGAATCAACCTATCCTCTCTCGTTCAGAACCAACTGCACAGGCCTCTGATTTTGCCCAAACATGATTGCCCTCAATACCTATTCGGCTCGTGACATGGGCTGACTTCTGAAACGTTTGTAGCAGAAGGTAGGCTCCAGCGTGTCACAGCAGTAGCGCAGCTCGTCGAGAGACGCATTGGATGACAAAGTGGACGCTCCTCCAGAGTTTGCATTGCCACAGACTTGCCTGACGCATCTCATGACACGAACCGTTTCATGAGGAAGTAAGCAAGAAATGGCACCGTAGCAGTCCCTGAAGCCTGCGGTATTGCGGCAAGCGCACACGAAATGCTTGCTTGCCGGTTCAACCTTTCAGCTTAGCTTGGACACGGTAACCAGCAAGCCTGACAGCACAGTGTGTCATGTGTACATGTGGCGGAAACCTACGTGCCAGAAGCAAGCGAAGAGGTACCTGCCAAAGTTTCGGAAGCTTCAGCCAAGCCAATGGCCCAGCCCGAACGTGAAGCCGCCATCGTGAAGCGAGTCTTTCGACGATATGTGACTGGGTTCAGAATTATCCGCAGTTCTGGCAGAAATCATCTTCTTGTTTTCAACATCCACGAGTCGACCTTAGAATCTTAGAGGAGAAGCTTGAAGTTATCTGACAAAGCTGCAGAGATCCGACTTCCTGCACTTGCCTCGCTCATGTTTCGCGGATGCTAAGGACAAGCTGGGTGATGGGACTGTTGATCGAGACATGCTGTGGAAGGCGGAAAGACTGCTCCAGCAAAGTCCTTCGTTCGCCTTCGTGGCTCACTACCCGAGAGATCTGTATCAGGTGATGCAGACCTTGCCTTCGAAGATCAGTCTCCAAACGTTCCTGCATCTACTTCAGCAGACACTCGGCATGCCCTGATGCATGCATGGACAGGATTCACAGGCACCCCTCCCTGCCCCCACTCGGACAAGGACCGGATACGATGGTGACTTGTCTGATCTATCCTGGTCCTGTCCGGGTTGCCAGTGAACTCTCCAGCCCGATATAAACTATTCTGACTGCCAGCAGTTTCACCCTGCCAAACTAGATGCGATACTCAATTCTGCACTGCCTCTGCACAGGTGGCCGTGTGAACTATGCCAGATGCCCGGTGTGCTTGAGAGCAGCATGCATTTTGCTGCTGCCATGCGGTCCAGGCTCGGCACAGCCCTATTTGCCAAGCACGTGTTGCAGGTTCGGTTCTTGGATCGGCTTTTCTCAGAGAATGCGGGGGAGGCTCTGTGCATCAGGGAGATCTTGCAACCATGCTCTCTCGCATGGTCTCTGCGACTCCTAAGCTCACTGCAGGACGCGGCCAGCGACAGCGAAGAGACGATGCTCGCCTCAAGCCTGCGTTGCTTCGGCACAGCACCTCACCGTGTAGCTGTGCTTTCGTGGGGTTCGGTTCAGATGGGCAACCCTTGATTCGAGTTGAAGCCCAGCTGGGGTCTGAAAATGTCGAGGTCGAGGCATGACTGCCGGACTCGCATAGTCGGATAGTCGGATCGCAAGGACGTCGGCCTTGGACGGCTGGCGCCGACTGCTGCTTGCAATGGCGCTGCTTGGCTCAAGATGTTGGAGGCAAAGCCCTCTGAAGGCAATGCTTGCTTTAAGCTCCTCTGTGCGACTGAAGCTCGAACTGGTTATTGGGCTCTTCTTGGGAAGCCTTGTCTCAGGAAATTCCATGCCCCTGACGAAGCTGTTGACCGCAGGAGCCGATCTCGAATGCCATCTGATTTCAACTGCTGCTGCTGCTGACCTCGCTGCGCGTACTGGTCTGCTACTTCTTTTTACTGTTCGTTTACTACTACTTCTACGACGACGACTTCTGCTGCTGCTACTACTACTACTACCACTACTACCACTACGGCTACTACAACTATTGCCGCAGCAGCAGCAACCAAGGGCATTCAGCCGGATGCCGAAAGCCCGATCCACGCCTCAGGATGCACTCTGCCAAGCCGGCTTATGGAGATGAGCCCGACTGCATTGAGCCTTTGTTGCAAGAAAGGTCTAAGTCTGAGTCTAAGTGGAATTCATCACGAATTGGTCCGAGATTTGGAAAGACAGGTGTGCTACAACGCTCGGCCTTCCGTGCTCCTCCTACCATGCCGGCACATGCAAGTCTGCAAATGCTGCGCCCCCCTACTGCGCGAGCCTCAGGAGCCTGCATTTCCTCTTGGTCGAATGAAAAATAAACGTCAGCGCCAGCTCACCTTGCAAAGAATCGTGCATTGGATACCGTTTGAGGCATGTCCGGAGCGCGACGCAGACCCTGATAATCAGAACAGGGGTGAAGAGAGCCAAAGCAGAGCACTGTAACCTTTCCGGGCAGTTCAAGCTGTGGGCACCAAGCAAAACGGGAGAATCGTCCGTCAAAGGGACGTGCACACCTCACACATTTGCGAGCCCAGGTCGAGCTGTCCAACCTGCAGGGCTAACATCAAGTCTTTTGCACGACCATGCTGGGATCCTGAGTCGTGAGAGTCCATGAAGTCTAGGAAGAATACCCACAAAAGCCATGTCAGCACAAGCTGCGTGTTGCTTGGGACGGTGGGTGGAGGAGGACAGCAGATTCGCAGGCGTAGACACGACGGACGCGTCATGGCCTGCATGCGAATTGGTTATTCTGTGGTCACAAGGACCCAAACCTCAGTAGCTTGTACAGCAATCCAAGGCCTGGAGTCTGCAGGCGGATCTCGGGCGAGTTAGTTATAATGTCTCAGATTTAGACTCGCGGCCAAGCTCACCCCTCCTTGTACGGCACACATTGAAGAGGCGGCCATATCGAGAGGTCCACAAGGACGGGCAGAGTTGCATAGAGTCAGCAGGACAAGAGAGGCTCACTCCAGAAGCGAGTACGGAAAAGGATGCGTCCGGGGCGGAATGGTCCTTTGAGAGCTCTCCTCCAGACTTGGCGAAGGAAGAAATGTCTGCCCTGTTGTGGCTCGAGCACCAACGTGCCATGCACAGCCGTGAAGGCTGCCTTCTCAGAATCTCTGTCCACACAAACCCGTAGCCAGTGCACACTGCAAGCATGGCCGAGGTCGAGGACTGTTCGCCTCTGAAGTCAGAGCCGCGGCCTCGGTCTTGGAGCATCTCAGGCTCTTGGCATGACCGGACGCCAAGTCGTGAATGCGACAGAAACTTGCATGTAGCGGGCCAAAAAAGGGTAGCGACGCAGTGTGGCTCAGATTCAGATCCCATGTTGACCCCGGCTCCTGCAAGTCGACGGCATAGTCTGACACATGCAGCACTAGAGCAAGATGCAACATCATTGTGACCCTACCTGCACACCTCAGAGCCACAACGGCCTGCACCAAACAGCTCGTGAGCAAATCATCATAAGTTCCTCCTGCCGTTTTCCAGTAGTGTGGCTTCAATGGGAAAAGAGGCGAAGGAGCAGCCAAAGCTGTCCGAGCTCTATGAAAAGTTGACTGCCGAGCAGCAAACCAGCTTGTCGAAGTCTGTGACGGAGAAGCTGCAGACCATGATCGGCGGCTATGGTGAGCTTGGGGTTCTGGTGGAGTACATCTCGGTGATGCTGCAGTCCAGCAGACCCCCGGAGGCTATCCAAACCGAACTCGAAGCTTTCCTCCAAGATCAGAGCGTCCCTTTCACTCAGTGGCTTTGCGAGAAGCTTCAGAAGGTGGTGAACGAAGGCGGAAAGCGGCGACGCCGCGAGAAGCGTGCAGAGGATGGTAAGGACGCTAAGCCAAAGGATGCCAAGGATGCAGAGAAGAAGGCCAAAAAGGAGAAGAAAGCAGCTGCCCAAGCTGCGGCCCAAGCTGCAGCCCAAGCAGCTCAAACAGCAGCGACGCCAACCACGGTGGCTGCCAGGAGTCGCTCACGGAAGCGACGGCGGCGGGCCGCCACGGCCAGCACCCCAGTGACAGTTACGACGGTGCAAAACCAGGCAGATCGTAAAGCCAAGCTGACCCCCAACGTCGACTACATGCATGAGGGACGGCCTCAAAAGAGTGATGGCCGAGAAGCTCCTGCTGGAAGCGACACTCGCTGGTCCTTCCGAGCTGACCCCGGTGGGCACCTTCAGCCAAGTCACCACGGTCACCCGCCCTCGGCATACTATCAAGCCCCACCAGGCGCATACCCCACTCCGCGCCATCCACATGCACCTGCTGTAGCCCCCCAGTACTTCACGCCCAAGAAATGGAAAGTAGCGCGTGGCAACACCGTGGTGCGAAAGACCGAGAGGCTTGATAGCGAAGAGGTGCAGAAGTTGCAGGAGGGCGAAATTGTCGAGCAGGTCGCACCCGCCATCACCACGGAGAACGGCATCGTTCGCATACAGATCCGACATCCGTCATCCCCACTCTTCCCAAAGCCCATCGGTTGGGTGACCCAGGATGCCAGCGCAGCTGGAGGCCCCAAGTTCCTAGAGCCCGGCCCAGAGCCCATGCAGCGCACTCAGCCTGCAACCAGCCCCAGTCCGGGGGGCGGGGCGCCGGGATGGCGGCCTGCGCATGACCCTTCCCCTTGGGCTGCAGGCTGGCGCCCGAGACCAGGACCGGGGGTGCCTCCGCCGCGGCCTGTCGCTTATGGCAAGGGCTTCCAGAACCTCACCTGGACCCCCAGCTGAGAGGCACACTTGAGAGAGGTGTTCTAGCTTAGAGAGCCTTGGTTCTCCGGACTCTCAGGCGAGAAACTGGAAGCTTTACAAGATCAAACTCAAGTCTTCTCTGTCCTTCTTCTCAGACTGGGATCCTGGAGCATGGTAGTCGCAAGCAAAGGAGTCACACTGCGGCACAAGACTTTGCCAGCTTATGTCTGTATGGTCGGTATATGACGAGTTGAAAAAGCAAGCACGTGCAGGACCTCGCTTGAGCATAATTAGGCATTGCAAAGAAGTTGAAAGAAGATTGGCTGACATGCACGGGACAGGGAAGGGAGGTGACTGCCTCGTGATCGAGGTGCTGCCGCACAGCTCAGCCTACTGGAGGTGCTCCGCAGACTCTGGATTGCTTCGCCACATCTACATTGAACTTTTATTGATACACTACATTTTCTATATCAGTTCAATAGTCTACTATATTTATTGAATGACTGTAGAATCATCAAATCATTGCATCTACATGGAAGATGCGGCCCAAGTCGCAGGTCCTGTGCCGGCACAGCGACCTTTGCCCAAGATGCCAGAAACCACGGCCTGTTTCCTCATTCAGAAAGCCTTGCGGCATGAAGCAGAAACCGCTACAACAGATCAGTGTCTTCGCAGAGCTAGCACTTCAGTAGAGCGCGGGCCGCTCTTCCAGCACGGTCCTGCAGAAATGGCCGCAGCAATGGCGCTGCATGTGAGGCGGCATGGATTCAACAGGCTTGCGATTGATCTCATGTCGCAAAGGCAATGCCAGACACCAACAAATCCGAGAAGCAATGCCGACTTTTGGTCAGGCCGATAAGCCCTCTTCAAGTAGTCCTGATCTTCGCGGATGGCTCAGCCTGGCAGTCTCGCAAGATCTGGGGTTTTGTGGATTCGGGACACCATTGCATGCATTTGCATGCAACACGTTGCAAGTGTTTTTGCAGGTAATGCAACTCTCGTTCGAGCAGCTAACCTGATTCGAGGGCGGCTGTTCCCCTCAAACTCAGGTCATCATTGTTGACACCGCGTCGTTCTTCCTGCTTCACTTACCTTTGATTCTGGACAGTGAGATTGTCTTTGAACTTGGGGGCTGGTACCGGCAGGGCGCGACAGGTCCACGAGTTGTGGTCTCTCTCTCTCTCTCTCTCTCTCTCTCTCTCTGTCTTTGTACCTCTCTGTGGTGTCTTGCGATCGCGCAAGCTTGTTTGCATATCATTCGGGTGCAGGACGAAGTGACGCAGCTGTCGTTGGCAGCCGCTTTTTCAGTAATTGCCCCTGGGACTGATGATCCTGCTCTGACATGTCTAACATGGCTGCCAGAGTCATTGGAGTCGTTGGCAGCTTTTTCCAATCTCGAGCTCGGCACTTTGCGTGCACGCAGCCAAGGCTCTCGTCATGATCGCTTCTGGCCTGAAGGCCGCCCTCACGGATGCTTCTCATCCAGATGACTCCCGACTGCAAAAGCCAGATGCCAGTTCTTTGCGATTGCAACGACAAACCCCGACAGCGCTTGACACACGGGATCACACGGGCAGATCGCACGGGGCTTGAATCTCAGACATGTAGACCAGCAGGCGCGAGTTAACTCACAATGCGATTGGGGTTTGGGGTTTCTGACTGGCGGAAGAGCGGCAAACTACCAGGCGTCCTTTCATGCAAGCCTGCAGCAAGAGGGGGACTCAGTCCAGCGGGTCTGCCCGGCAGAGTTCGCTTGGCCCCCATTGTTGGGGCCAGAAGTTAAGTTTCTGGCTTCCTGCCGAAGAAGCTCTCACAAAGATCTCTGTCAAGCTTGCATGGCTATCCGCGATAAGGTCCCGTGGAAATGGGGCAAAGGGCTGCTTTGCTTGCAGTTGGCATTGGAACCTTTGAAGCTGAAAGACTGAAGCCGCATGATAAAGCCAGAATACAGAGGTCTGAGTAGTTAGTCATGGCATCTTTGGCAGCCCCTGCATGCGTAGCAGCATAGTAAGATGACGCAAAACCTGCCCAAGACCTACTCCAAGTACTACAGCCCTCCTTAAGCGGCTCAGCTTTTGGACACACGGCTCAGTTCCTTCGACGACCTCGGGAAGACAGAGCTCCCTTTGTGTCACACCTGCCATGTCCGGCAGGCGACGACTTTTTGTGGGAGTTTTAGGGTTTAGGGTTGCAGATGGCAACACCACAGGAGGCCTGGATGCAAAAGGGTTGCAGATGGAAGATACAGAGCAAGTCTGTGTGCAGATTTCATTGTGTAGATGCGACAGGAGTTTCGGACAGAGCACTGTAACTCGTGCAACAGGCTTCTCGGCGGCATGCATGACCACATGATCACATAGCGGGGGCTCAATCCTTTTGCCCATGCCTGCTTGTGGGGCGTGGAACTGACTAGGACTCGGCCTTCTCCAAAGGCGGCCGGAAGGAAGACCCGAGTTGGTACCCAGCATCCTCGTGCCTGAGGTGCGTCGCTGGTTTCGACCATCATTGCATTTGGCTCAACAACTGCAACTTGCCATGCAAGATATGTGAAACCCTGCCAGCAAGCAGGGCAGGGTGAGATGCGGATGGATGCCGTCACAGCCAGTGGATGAAGGCGGCGTTTGTTTGCGATTTGCACAGCTCGCCGAAGGCTTGAAGAGGGAAAATCAGATTCCGACTTCGGCCAGTCAAGGTATTGGCGACGCAAATTATGGAAGCTTCTGGACCGCCATGGTCTCGGCAACTTTGTTTCTAGGCCCGGGTGCTGACTCTGTTAGTTTCTTGTGGCAGTCTCCTTTCCCGGGTGCAGCAAAAGTTGTCTTGCTGTTTTCACCCCGGCAAACCTTGCAGTCATCATGTGCGCGAGCGGGATTGTGTTGATCGTGGTGGTCATCATGTATGGCAAGCCAAAGGAGCGGGATGTTTTCAAAATGGCCCTGTTTCACAACAACTGTAGCAGCAGCTTTTGCATCACACCGATTTCGAGTTGTGCTCCGTTCTGTTTGGCGTGGTTGGCTGTGAGGAGCTGCTGTTGCCGGCGTTGAGCTTCTTATTGTGCCGTGGACTGCATGCTCATTTTCCGAGAAGGGAGCTTGAAACTTTGCCATGTCATGATTCTTGGTGAACTAAGGCTCTTAAACATAGCCTTGCTCGTGCCCATCTTCACACTGCTGATTTTTCATCTGGCTCTGGTCAACAATCGGCTGACGACGCTGGAGTACATCATGGCCGGAGTTTAAGACAAGAGCCTGCAAGCATGTCATTGATGAAAGTCTGCGACTACGGATGTAGTTACGCAGTATCCGTAACACCACGCACACTAGCGTAAGCTCAGCCCCTCTTAGTACTATAAGATACCGTGATACCGTAGTTGTCGCATGTTTCACAGGAGATTGAGCGTACCAGTGGGGATACCAGCCCTCCACTCCTGCCCTTCTGCCCTGGCCACCCCTGCAGGCGCACTTGGACTACGACAGGCCTCAACAAAGATGGCCGAGCTTGCGACACGAACTACGAAGTGACACAGATGTGTGAAGGGGGTGCATGAGACAAGCATGTCTCGGGGCATGGGCCAAACCCCCATCAGGCTTTGTGCGATCACACCAGGCATGAAGACATGAAGGGCTGTCATAGCACGCGCAGCCAGGGCCTTGGACGGCGGCAAAAATCCACCACTCCGCCCAGAAGCCGGGCAGTGAATTAATGATTTCCCGGTAGTTGCAGTTGCGGTAGCAGTCATCGTAGTCGCATCACTAGCATAGGTGAGCAGCAGTAGCAGGAGCAGTAGGAGTTGTAGGAGTAGTCTAGGAGTAGTAGTAGTAGTAGTAGCAGCAGCAGCAGCAGTAGCAGCAGTAGTAGCAGTAGTAGCAGTAGTAGCAGTAGTAGCAGTAGTAGCAGTAGTAGCAGTAGTAGCAGTAGTAGCAGTAGTAGCAGTAGTAGCAGTAGGCAGTAGCAGTGGTAGCAGTGGTAGCAGTGGAAGCAGTGGAAGCAGTGGAAGCAGAAGCAGAACAAGTAGAAGTAGACGTAGAGTACTAGTGGGTTGTCTTCGTCACAGTCATCGTGGTGGTCGTGGTGGTGGTGGTGGTGGTGGGTGGTGGTGTTCGTAGTGGTACTTGGGTGACGAATGGCATTGTACAGCATTTGCTGTCGAAACTGTTCGGCACGCTTACTTAGATTAGGGATTGCCCTTCGGCCTAAGTATGTTACATTCCCGACCCCATGCACAATACGCTTTTTCACCTTAGGAAAAGACTAACCCAGAGACTTCATGGAGCCGAAAGGCACAGTGAGGTCTGACTCGAGGACGGTGCCACAACGTGTCATGCAATTACCGTTACAGACCCTAAAGGAGTCAAACATGGGCCACCGTGTACCACCATCATATCTTTTGTTTTTGTGGCTGGCCGCCAACTTCCCGAAACCTGAAAGAATCTTCAAAGAGCCTGCAAAGTCAAGACCCGGTCAGCCCTGGTCGGGTCTGGGACGCTCTGGGAGTTCTTTTGGGATCCTGAGTAATGTTTGCTCCGAAGACAAGCAGAATTGAAGGAGTGGTCAGATAAGCAGCAACAGCAACGCTCTTACCATTATAATTGTAATCCGAGAACTTGCTTGATGCAGCTGCATTTAGACTTGTGCTTGCATGACTCGAAAAGCCGAGGATGGTACTCACTTTCGACCATTCCCCAGATGTCAGATGCTCAATTGCTCGCCGGGTTTTTGCAGGCACTCAGGGATATTTGGCGAATTGCATGGTTTTCTCCGGCTCTTGAGGTGTTGACTGGGTCGTATTCAGGCCTCGACGCCGGCGCAAGGCGCGACGGGAACAAGCCCCTGTTGGCCTATGCTAGAGAAAGCGGAAGTTCCGAATCGGGCTTAGAATCCGCATGTCCATTCGCCTTATCGATCCAAGCCCTGGACGGGCGGTGTTCCGCGCACTTGGGACCTGCAAGGTCCATCCAGGAGTCCATCCCGTGCCTCTGCAGCAACCAAAAGCACAGCAGCGACTCAACCCGAGAGCCCGAGCCCTCGAACTTCGTGAGTTCCGTAGTGATGTTTGGCAGCGGCAAGGGCAAGATCGCGCCTGCTCCACCTCAGCCTCAGCCGAGCCCCAAGGTGCAGGCCGCATCAGCTTGGTTTGGCTTTTCATTCGGAGTGCTTGCAACATCCTCGGGCAAGGAAAAGGAATTGGGTAGAGTTTACACTGTCAGGCTGGATCATTGGGGCAGTGGGATATGGCAAGTCTGTTTACGAGCTCACCGCCATTGCTCGATCCTCGCCAGGAGAAATCTCCTCCAGCTGAGACCATCGCGACCCCGCCAGAGGACTCTTTCTAATCGCTTGGGATCCAATCTCTACGCAACTCAGTAAATTGAATGATTCAGCTCAGGAAACTTCTGGTGGTGTGTACCCTTTTGCACGAGAGTGCTGCCATCTGCCTTGTGGGTATGAAGCACCGACGAAATGAAATTGAACCCCTAGATTCTAGATTGCACAAGGAGTTCACTGCATCGGCATGAGAAAGGCATGGCCTTGAATCATAGAGGCAGTCTGCAACAAGAACTTCCAGGATTGCCCAGTGGCCGACTCCGATCACTGAGATAAACACACTTGCAGAATAGCTGTACATCCGACCAAAACCCGACAAAAAGGTAGCTGTTTACCTCTGCTTCTAACGGACGCATCTTCGTGCAGCTACCTGGAGGAGGGATGCCCAACTCCCACGACCCGGCAGGGCACGACAGACGATGCAAGGGAACTCAGCTTTTCTGCCGAAACAAAGTCACACGGCTCGTAAGACAAGCATGAAGGGTGATCACTTGTCCTGGTGTCCTCGTGTTTGCGACCTTGAGCCCAGGCGTCGCAGTCGTATACCCTTCACTTCCAAGGCAACTTCGCTTTAACTTGAGCGACGGGAAAGTCGCGAGTCCAAGCGTTTCCGACAGCATTACCATTGATTCCCTCGACTCGCGAGTTTGCCGACAACCTAGAGCCATCTTCCAGAGTGGCTGTGTCACCAGTTAGGCGTAGGATGTGCACTCGGCAAAGCTGCGCGCACTGAATTAGCTGCAAATCTGGATGGTTCCCACTTGAGTCGAGAGGAAAAAGATGAGCAGACGAGCACGGCAGCTGGAATATATCGTTGTCTCAGTGGGCTGACCTTGTGGCAGAGGACGCCTTCTGCAGCCTGCAGCCCTTCTGATCTTCGAGGCGATCCTCCCAACATTTGCTACCGGCAGCTCGAGGGATTTCAGGAAAGGGCGGCCAAAATTCCTTCCTCGACTCTAAGATACTCTAAGTGTTCCTTGATCTGGTCTTAATGTGGAGAGGTCCACTTCAAGCATGGAAAGCATCTTGGAAGTCTTGCACATCTCCGCTGTTTTGCATTCATTATGCTTCTGAAGCCGTCTTGGCTCGCCGTGCAAAGGAAAGCAGTGTGGGGTCATCTCCCCAGGCTTTCCTCAGCATGACGGCGGCTGTGGAGACGAGAGCCACGGCAGAATTGCGGAAGCAATTGCACCCACAGAGATGGAACCTGAAAGCCCAAGGCTCGACTGATGCCAGCGCGCGCATCGTCCAGAAGGACCGGGCAGGAGTGAACAGGATCGAGGAAGAGGTGACATTCACTCCCATGCTGGGATGAAGGGTGCTGTGGAGTTAGCATCTTTCGTACCTTCCAGCGATTGAGAGTCGAGTAGAGCCTTGGGGACTGCCTTCAGGCGATGAGCTTCGTCGAGGAGCCTTTGGATGTCTTGCCACCTCGTCACCGTTAAAAACGCTGACCGAGGGTGGTTCGTGGGTTTTCGTGAGGAAGGCTTGTGGAAAGGGCACTGAGCTCCTTCAAGAGGCAAAAGCGACATCGGGTTTCGGCTTACTCAGGGCTGGCGTCCAGCATCATCGGCTCAGGTACAGTGTGCAGGGCATGGCACCAAGCCACATTGACAAAGACATTACGGCAAATTACGAGATGGAGAACCTGGAGCTTGCATCCGGAGGGTTTGGCAAAGTATTCCGAGCCACTGACCGGAAGCATCCGGAGCGGCGGGTGGCCATTAAGTCAATGCTACTTTCCAGCACACGCCGCCGAGAGATGTCTGAAAACGAGGTCAAGATCATGCGACTCGCCTTAATCATGCAGCAGAGATTTTACCTGGAATGGGGGGGTGCACCTGCACACTTTACACACAAACGCGCGATTATATAGATATAGATATAGATATAGATATATACGCATATACTGTATATACAGAGTCATTTGCTTCGTCAATCTATCTTCAATCGATCTGTCTGCCTCATGATCTTGAGACTTGACTTGTCTTGGTTACAAATCGATGTATTGTCATAGCGAAGAGATTGGCGTGCTTGTGTTTATGCCTGTGTATATGACTGCGGTGATGAGAAGAAGGGACATACCTTTTTGACTGTGAGGTCGCAGAGCAATGCCAGCAACACCTACAAACTGAGCTGTCCCCCATGTTTCCCCCCACAGTCATGAGATTAGCCAGCAGCTCCAGGTCTCCCTTCTTAGGAAACTGACTGTTCAGCACAACGTGAACGCGGAGCCCGGAAAGCACGCATCCAAAACCCCGTGAAGCGGAAAGTGCTGGGAGGAAGGAAGCGGCCAACCGCAGAGACAGGAGTGGGCCGCACCTCTCCTTGGACTATGAAAACGCAGAAGAAGAAGAAGCGGAGAGAGGGGAGACGGGCTTTCCCTGCAGTGTACTGAAGGAGTGAGTGAGACAGACAGACAGCTCAGGAAGAGCTTGGACCATCCGAACATCTGCAAACTTTTCGAGACGTACGAAAGGGCTGGGCTTGCGTACTATGTCATGGAGCTTTGCGAGGGCAAGGCCTGGACAGTGGAACAGAATGACAGAATGCTTGAGATTTCACGGTCGCAGATAAACCAACGAATCCCATGAAACTGAAAACCATACTGCAAACTTATCCAGGATCTGTTTGACCATCTCTTCGATGTCGACTCACCCCGGCTGGACGAGCCGACAGCTGCAGCGGTCATCCGACAGCTGGCCAGTGCGCTACAGTATGCACACGACAAAGGCATTGCCCACCGTGACACACAGTCGCATTCAATTCTGTGCCTAGGGCTTTAGAATGCTTTGGCCTCGGCCTCACCAGCTAGCACGTCGCGCCTGCTCACGAAGAGGGGCATATTAAAAGAAAGATACAGCCCAGGACATCAAGCCTGAGAACATCATGTTCACATCGGAGGCTCCGCTGTTGTTGATCAGCCGGGTGTGTCAGTTATTCATCAGAAGTTACATAGGACGGGTCGTCTTGTGACGTGGCCGTGGCAAGTGCTGAAGGGATGCGTTGGTTTCAACATGTGCTGTGCAGGATCCCAACTGCACTGACATCAAGGCGGCGGCGCGTGTAGCAAGCATGACTTTAAAGTATAGGCCACACTTGGCAAAGCTGTGACCACCAGCCCGAAGCCTTGATTGCGCTCGAAGCTCCGGTGATCCACCGGAGGTGGAGGACTCCTGAGCAAGAAGGAAGGGAGTATCGTGAGTATCGGAGCATCGAATCAGCCTCTGCAGGTCATCGACTGGGGTGTCGGCCACGATTTCGGTGAGCGGCGCATGCGGCACTTTGCTGGAACGCTCAGGTACTGTGCCCCGGAGGCTCGCGATGTAAGCCGCTGCTAGATACGATATCCTTGCACCCTGAAGGCAGAAACTCTGTACTGCCTGGCAGGTGATGCAAGCCGAAAGCTTCTTGAGGCGGCTTTCATCCTACACGGCCGCCTGTGACATGCAACTCTGCTGCATCACGATATCTGGCAAAAGCCTCAGCATCCTGACTTAGGCCAGCATCCCACTTGTCTGAAGTCTGGCATCAATCGTTGTTGAGCTCTGGAGCTTGTGCTTCTCGTTTCCGATGCAGGTGGAGCGTTGGTGTTGTCCTTTACGCCATGCTTTCTGGGCGCTTGCCATTCAGCGGAAAGCAAAAAGAACTGCTCAAGAAGATGAAGAAGGAGCCCGGCGGGCAGTCACACACTGTCACTGGATCTCCTGCCTTCAATGTTCTGAATCTGAGGAGCAATATTCGATGGGAGGGAAAGTCTGGCAGTCGAGATCGCAAGACGCCAAGGATCTGATTCAGGGGCTATTGAAGGCCGATCCCAACATGCGATTCTGCCCCAAGGACGCTTTGGGGCTCCGGCTTTGACATGATGCTTGTTCACATGCCCGAAGACTTACAGCGAAGCCATATCACTTGTTATTACAACCGTAGGTTGCCGTCTTTAGCTTACTCTCGTGTCTGGAGGCAACACGTGAAAAAACAGAGCATTCTGCCTTCAAGCATCTCCCCAATGATGTCCATACGACATGCCTAGAAGCCAGCAAGAGTTAGTACACCGAAAACCCTTTTGACTTTTTGTGGACAGCTGGGCACAAGCGAGAGGCGAACTACTCGGACTCATAGCTGGCCAGTTTGAGGGCGCAGTGACGAGAAACAAGCCCTACTGTACAGTCACAAAGCGCGCAAAGCGTGCCATGCGCGCCGAAGTCCCACACGAGCACACCAGATGCAGATCACATATTCTTGGCAGCTTTCAACCGACGCACATGCCAAGAACGACAGCACAGATGAATCGGACAAAGGCCGCGCATCTGGGCTCACACTCGGCTCAGGACATCCTCCAGCACCCCTGGATTACGAACAGTGAGAGGCGAGGCTAAGCCGGTTTGACCAGAGAAATCTAGAATCCAGACCGTATTCGTTCCAGGCATTCCGAGATGCCGGCAGCCGTGGCGCAGCAAGTTCTTGACAACATGAAGAACTTCAGCCATCTTGGCCATTTCTACTCCATTTGTGTGGCTGCGGTGGTTCGTCAGCTTGGCTCCAAGCACTTGAATGAGGTGCATAGCTGATGAAGTCGAAGCGCAGAGTCTGTCGGCTGAAGCACATCGTCATGTGTGAAACAGGTGCACCGCATGTTCTGCAGCTTGGACCGGGATGGAAACGGTGTGCTGTCTGTTGAAGAGGCAGGGGAGAAGGAACATTCTGTGCTGCATGCACAGGGCAGCATCGCCGACAGTTGAGGTCTGCTGTAATCCTGACCTGAACACGGGGGAAAGGCTTTTGCTAGTATTGTTTCGACCGTCCACACAGGTCCAGCAGGGCTTCTCCAACCTTTGCCACGCTGACTCTCCTGAGATGCACCCGGGCCACATGGATTGGCGCACCTGCGCTTGGCCGTCCCGGCACAAGCGCACTCGTCAAGGAGAATCATTCCCATGGAAACTCGCAGATGCAAGGCAAGACTTGCTGAAGATCGTGCAGATGCTTGACAAGGACGGTTCAGGCACGTTCGTCCTGTCTCTTGCAGGGGGCGGCCGCTCCCAGCACAGGGTTCGTTCCGCATGACAAACTGGTGGAGAGGGGCTTTCAAAGGTCGAATCGGTTGGTTCATGTTCTGGGGCACATGCGCTGCCACGCTTCACGCCAGCGGCCGCCAGCGAGCCAAAGAGGCGATGCTCTCCGCTCCTCGTCTCGCGTCGCAAGGCAGCATTGACTACAACGAGTTTTGTGCGGCTGCGGTTGGCGAGCGAATCTTCCAGGAGGATACCACACTCACGCTCCGAACCAGCCGCTGTTGCGAGCAGAGATTCCTGTTCACATTTGTTCGCTGCTGTTCACCCAGAAGCCATTGCAGAAAGCAACAACCAGCCAGATGCGTAAATTGGTTCAGAGGAGTCGTGGCTGTGGGCTGCTTTCCGTTCCTTCGACACACTGAAGGATGGCCAGCTATCTTTTGAGGCTTCTCGCCTGCAAACGCTTGCTTTTGGTAACAGCCCGCGCATCACGCTCTTGAAAAGTCGAGAGGAGCAAAAGACGCGGCGTTTGCTCTGCAGTCAGTCTTGGGCCGGTAGGCGAGAAGCTGTAGTGACGGGATACGTGTGACCCCGAGGAGATTAAAGCCATCTTCCGGGGTAGCGACGTGAGCCGCGTTTGGCATGAAGACGTCTTGGATGCAGCTGCCAGGGAGGCGTGCGCAGAGCAGTAGGGCACGGAGTGCCGCGGAAGGTTGCTGCTGTGGAATCTGTGGAACCAGCCATTCTGCACAATGCAGGCGTTGAAGCGCTTCGATGTCACCGGTGACGGCGTTTGCCTGAGACGGCGTAGAATCTCGCTGAGAGCTTCTCTCACCAGCTGTGCTGCCCAGGCGCCATCGATTTCGAGGAGTTCAGCCGCTTGCAATCGCTTGCACAAAGCGCACTGCAGGGGGTAGGCCTTCAGGTTCGGCCACATCTATATAGTACAGTACAACAGGCAGTCGGATTTTGCTTGGCACCCACACAAAAGGCTGGTCCAGTTCAGTTCCCACGGAGATCGCTTAGGCCAGCTGATGCGCCACCACACGGCAGCCAAGAAGTTGGCCGAAGCCGAAAAACTCCGCACTTTGGCTGCTGCTAAGGGGCTGAAGGAAGCGCCAACCAAAAACAACAGAGATTGATGCGGGCGGGAATGAGGTCAGGGATGGTCTTCCGAAGAGCATGATGCGAGCCTTGCCAGCATTCGGAGAATTGCGAACCTGCTGCCCCCTGTCGGGTGCAGATTGAGGCAAGCCTCCTTGGACAAGTTGGAACTGCAGCTGCATGAGATGCATCCCAGTAGCATCGAGTCGGGGAGTCACGGGCAGCATTCCGTGGATACTGAGTTTTGTGTTACTAGCAGACCGAGCACGCGTGCAAACAGGAAGGCGCACGACCCCTACAGGATCGCAGCTTGGATGCAGGCAGCATCCTGTTACAGTGAACTTTGGCATGCAAGGTGCTCCCGCTCTGCCTTTGCAGTCATTTGTGCTTTTTGCCTAGGTGAACCAGATGCAAGAGGCAAGTAGAATAGAGTTGTGGTGAGCTTCACCGTTCCCCAAGCGTCGCAGTGTCCACTGGACGAGCAGGCACATCACGATCATCTTGGTCGCGGGCTATTCCGTAAGGTTGCCATACTGTGCAAAGCCAGACCACCAGCAACGCCCCAGGTGCCAGATCTGCAGTTAGCAATTGGCTATATATTTCTTTCGGTCAAAATTCGGCAAGTTTTTGGACCCTAAAGCGTCAATTGAATTTCTCCAGCAAAGTCCCGCTGCGGCTGCCGAGCTTGCGGTGCTTGTTGAGCAAGGCAGAGACTGGAGCCGAGGTGCCAGATCAAGCAAAGCACGGCAATGCTTGATCCTTGAAGCTGGCTCAGCAGCCTGCTTCGAAAGTGCATGTCAACTAGCGGAGTCTTCGCTCCTCCATTTGCATAGGGCAGACTACAAGCGTCTGCCATCGAAACTTTGGCCGCTTGTGCAGAGGCTTTTCCTTAGTGCTTCTCCACAATTTGTCGGCCTGCTCCGAATACAGAATACACATATTCAGTGCAATACGAATAATTGTAGAAGTGAGAATCGCACGAACATGAACAAGAACAAGAACATCCGCAACATAAGAACAACCGCATTACTTATGTTTGAAGTCAGAATACACTGGAACTGCAAGGTTGGTTCCTAGGTGCAGCCCTAAGCGGCCCCCTCGTAGTTTTTCGTAGGAGACACGAAGAGCTTGGCAGAACCTGCACATGGCATTGTCTCTCCTAGCCAAATGTCAGGCTGTTTCGGCCTTTCGATGCTTCGCTTGCGCACTCTCTGCAGATGTGACGTTTCTGTTCACACAACCTTTTGCTTTCGGGCGGGATGCAGGGGTGTGCGCAGGTCAAGGGAGGAAGGGGCTTCGCCGGGTAAAGGTTGGATCGCAAGGCTTCTGTCCCAGTCCGCAGATGCAGTGCAGTGCCTTTTCCGCAGTCGCGAGTGTCTCCTTATGCATCCGGATGCAGCTGGACCAGCAACATGCACCTCGGAGAATCTGATAGATTGGCTTATGTCTAGGCTTGACGACTTCAGCTGAAAGATGCAGCCCGCTCCACTAAGGAGCTTCGGCAATGCCCGGCGCTACATGACCTTGGAGCGCCGTGCGTACCTTGACGGCTCTGACCTAGGTCGCTTGGCCGGCTCTTCAGACTCCGGATGTTGCCGAGCGTTTCGGTCAAGATTTTGTTTGCGCATCAGCGAGCCAACCTTGAAAAAGCCTGGGGGCCGTGTGTTCGACTTTGCAGACGCAGGTCAACGGGCTCGTCCTGTCGAGTTGCAGCCTCAGCATGTGAGTGTATTGGGGCCACACACCGTCCCTTTCTGTGAACTGCCCACTGTCCGAAGGACGACCTCACTGCAGCCACAAGACTGTGCTGATGCGCGTGCGGCAGCTGATGCCCAGAAGAGGTCCGGCAGAACAAGTGCTCGTGGCTCGTATGCCTTAGTACGATTCCCAAATCAGACTAGCGAGTAATAATCTTTCCTTAAAGTATCTTAAAGTAGTACTATGTAGTATGTACTCGTACCGGAGTACACCCGAAGCCCTAGCCTGATTATTCAGGCCCGTGTTATCCAGCCACCGGATGCCTCTGATCGGCAGGCGCGCAGCCGCACCGAAGAAGGCAGCAGAGGCCTTCCAAGGGGCCTTCGGCGCCACTTCCGGGTCAGCTGCTTCTCAGAATGGAGCTGGTCGGAGGGATGATTGAGCTTTCAGAAGGAGAGGCTCAAGGCTCAAGCTGCGGCACCGCTCAGGTCGGACCGCAAAGTGAGGCTCCCGGCTTGCCCGAGAGGACGGGCGGCGGAAGTCAGCGGGCACTCAGCTGCGCGGAACATGAAGCTGCTGAGATTTCAGGCGGCTCCGGCGCTCTCCTCGACCTACAGATGAGTCTGCCGCCGGCTTCTGTCGGCCATCGGCACATCCCCTGCCGGGAGGCCATGCTCGGTGGAGCTCTTCAACACACGCGGCGCTTTCACGCAGTTGCATGGCGCATGGTTGATTTCTATAAGCCCCCTTCATAATGAATCCCCATATGGTGTCGGCTTCTATCAACGGTTACCGCTCAACTGTGTCTTGGTGTCTCGGCCTTTCAAATCAACATCAGCTCTCTGCGACTCTGCTCATCCCTCACCACGGTGCAGGACAAGTATCGGACATCGATGCGCTTTGGCTGAGATGGCCTCGCTTGGACCATTCATGCTTGCAAGACTGGTGAGCCGTGGCGAGCCCCTCTCGTGTCTCATTTTATTGTTGCGAAATATACAGAATGTCTCGCTCATCGCAGTTGACATGGTCGTACAGAAGTCATGGAAGCCTTTGTCAGTTCTGCTTCCGCTCAGGGTCGCGGTCACCGCCGCACGCTGGCGAAGGCCAAGAGACGCTCGGCCACCGTCCCCGCTATCCTCACTCACCTTATTCATCGGTACCAGGTTATCTAACACTACATGAAGCCAAGGCAAGCCAGAGAAGACGCTCAAGCGTCACGATCGTCACAACGATGCCACTCAGCTTCAGAAACTTCGGACTCCTTGTACTGCGAGGACATCGTGTTCAGTCCTATGTCTTTTCAGGTGAAAATTAGCCGTGAACAGGCGCAGGGCGACTTCCAAGGTCGGGTTCTGGGAGGAGAGAGCCTGACGGTTCTTCATACATCGTTTTTGGAGGCAGAGCGTTCTTTGACCAAATCGTGCGAGCAGAGCACTACGCCAATCTGATTGGGAGAGTCTTGGCTTGCCCTCATCTTCATAAGAGTTGGCAGAACTTATGGTCGACAGCTAGATGCCGATGCTCGTGTGTCCTTCCAGGATCAGAAAAATTGGCGAACCTCTCCGAGCACCTGATGTTGCTTGGCCGCGATCATATGGAGTAAGCCACCCTGCAACTGAGGCCACCAGCCATATTTTGCTCTCACCATGCAGTGTTTCGCGCATTATTTACCTATGTTCGAAGAGCCGATGCCCCTCACTAGCACGTTGCTCAGGTCGGTGCCAGAAGACGATGACTTCCCCGACGAGACGTTGGGACTATTTGGAATTAACTTGCTTCTGTAGCTAGCACAGTCCAAGTCCAAACTCTTTCTTCGAAGCAAGAACCCCGGGCACACGAGGATATTGAATCATGCATCTAAGGAGGATTCCAAGAAGCGAGCCCGACCATCTCACTGTCGAAATTGGGGACCAGGCACTCGGAGCTAGCACTGCACAGTGCACAGCGCTTTTTGTTGTGGTGCCTGTAGCCACTGGCAGGCACCGCTTCCCACGTTGCTCGGCTCTCCACGTGGACCGCAGCAGGAAGAAGACAAGGACCCTTGCGCAGTTGATGAGGTTTGCTTCGCCTGCCTCTACAGCCTTGCGTGCCTTGAGGGAAATGCCCAGCCGTCGTTCGACCCGCGCTATTCCTCTTCCAAATCGCTGGCGGGAAAGTGCAGATCGTTGAAGGCAGCGCAAATTCAATAGATGAACCTAGCTGCTAGCAGCGAGCACGGTGCTATTTCGAAGAGTCCAGCTGCGGCAGGCATCCATCTCGAACATCGCACAGGACCGGCTTCAGGGCTCACCATAATCTCACCGTTACATGGCGGTTCTCTGGGAGCTTGAAGGGAGAAGCAGATCCCCCCAAACGTCCCGGCCACAAGAAGAGGAGTCCACCTCCTTCGGGCGACTCCTTCGCGAAGCCCAGTCAGCTCTCGAGGCCGCCGTGGGAGATTCTGTCATTGCCTTGGTTCAAGGGGATCCAGAGCGCCAAAGGGCACAGGAGGCGACAACCAATCTTCTGCTTGCTCTCGAAGGCCCTGTGAGCAACAGACAGAAGTGGGCCGTGACGAAACTGATCATCCATGCGAGCTGGATTTGGAATGGTTGCGTGAACAGACGGTGGGATCACCAACTTTGGATTCCTATTGAAGCGCCCGATTAAGCCCCAACCTCCCCGTGCGGCTCCCGACAGAGACGAATTGTCCAGAGAAGGGCTTGAAGTGACTGAAAGAAGCCGCACCACACTGCAGTTGCTCCAGTGACTCACGTGCTATTGTGTCACGTTGCCAGTCTGGCATACTCTTGTGGCCTTCTGCTCAACACTGATATCAGTCTAGCATAGTCTAGCAGTGGTGAGGGCACAAAAGAGAGACCTCGTCTGGCTGAGTCCGAGTTGCGAGAGCGTAATGATCCAATGCATCTCGCGGAGTGCAGGCTGCGGGCTCCACCTCTCAGTCCCAGGTCATGGCCAGGACGAGGTCGCCGGATTGCTCGGGCTGGTAAAGTGTATGTCTCACCTTGGCTCTGGATGTGCTTTGCATTTCGGTTCTTGCAAGTTCCTCTAGCTTTTCTGGGTGAGCTGCGGGAGGCTTCTGCATCAGCAGCTGGATCACCTGGAAGCTAAGCTGCTCGGCATCAGACTTTAAGCCAAACATTCGGATTCAGAGGCACGTTACGGTCTCGTGTAACTTGTTGGCTTGATAGGTTTTAATTCGGAGCCTTCAGGACCGTGCTTGAGAAGGGGGCTCCTTGGCATGACACCTGTTGCCAATGCTAAGGACGCGGTCTCTCACTGCCGCAGCCCAGATCGATAGGCGACCAGGTCGGACTCCCAACAGATAGCAATCCTCGATGGCAGCTTCCCTCCTTGGCTCAGACTTCTGAAACACGAGGCGAACCAGCAGCGACACCGAGAACTGCACCAGCAGAAGACCTGGAGACCTGCAAGGCACGTTGGGACGGATCTCCCGAATCAATTTGAGTTTGCAGACGTCAGGTTTGGAAGCAGCAGCGGCGCGACCATTTTGACTTGATCAAAAGCAGCTTGGCAAGCCGGCAAGTCAGGAGCTTCTTGTTCAGACGGGTGTCCCTTTCTTCCTCGGTTCAGCACTGACGCTTAAGTATCGTAGCAGCAGTGTTGTGCTTAGGCATAAGCCTGTTGCCAGTTTGCTTCTTATGCGCTCAGCACAGATCACACCGAGGAGGCACCGGGTGGCGTACCATGCCAAGCACCTCGCAGGTGTGAGTCGTTGCAAGCTCGGCTTTATGAAGCCTACGATCTCGTAAGGTCCAGGACGAAGGAACTGCTTGGGGTCGAAGGCGAGGGTTTCGCAAAGGTCGGTTCGTGGTATTGCTTTGTTCGTTTTCCTGGTGCAGCCAAACGAAGTTCTTAGAGCCTTGCTGTCCAAAGACGGGACGGACGATGAAGGCAAACATGCTATGCGAGTCGTGGCAAAGGCCACGACGCACAGGGACAGGAAGTGGAAGCTTCCACCGTGTTGACAAATGTTGTTTGGACACATACTATTACTAACATTAAGTGCCCCTCCGGGATCATGAATTCCAGGGAGATCCTGCGTTCTGCACTCGTGCGGACCTTCCCGGAGGCTTGGCATACTCCGATAATTCGAGACGTCGCTGCGTGCAGCAGATAAACGAAGGCAAAGCCCTGTGTTCTAATATGCTGGGCAGACAGATGTCAGCAGTTGAGCCCGGAAGTGCCTCTGAGAAAGTGGTGTCTGCTGCCCCTCGTACGGCACGTACAACATGGCCACAAAATCACAAAAGCCACAACACTCATTTGAATGCAGGTTGCCTCTCAAGCTCAGAAGGCATGGCCCCCAGAACTTACGTTTCGTTTGCCTGTACGTGAAGCGCAGCCAAAGAGTGTCGCCGTGATCACACTTTTTGAGCTGACGAGAGCCCACTATCCATGGATTTGACTAGACCAGGAATCGATTGAGATTGAAATTGACAACAGAAGTGGCACCAGCAAAAACGAGGTTCTCCCAGGGAACGAAACCGCAAGAGCTGAGTGTTGCGGCTCTGCAACGCAAGCTTTCAGGCTATTTGCAGTTTTTATGGCATTGGGTCAAACAGTCAAAGGTCTTTCGCTCCTGTCATGTTACTTCGCGGGTTGTTTCTTCTGCTATGGCAGCTGCAGCGGCTCGTGCTGATGCTGAATCTGGTGGCATCAGCATGCGTCCTGTCAAACTTTTTCGCAGCCCGTTGGCATTTTCGCGGACGTGTGCGGGCTCCTTCAAGCCTGGGCTTGACGCGGATCCTACGAACTCAGGACATGGATGCCATAGTGCTCGCGATACAGTGCCTTGGAACGTAAGGATATCCGCGAAGTCTTGGAGCATAGCAACAGCTTCGAGCCGAGTCCTATTCCTGATACGAGACACGAGTGCTGGTGCACTGACTTCCTGAGTCCTGCTCGCTGAAGGCAGCACCCAGATCGGTTGCAACAGGCGTGCGTGGCCTCCGCTGCGGTTTTTTCATGCACCTCCTCGGCACTTTCGGCTAGTGTAAGCTCGGGCATGCTGAGCAGCCTCATCCAGGTGCGCACATCAATCCGCTACAGTGGAGTACATAACTCGTGAGGTTCAGTCTTGCAGAGATCAGCATTGTGTAGCAGCAGCCACCTCAAGTCCTTTTCCGCACGTGGCATTAATTTGCTGCACACTGCCAAACAGGAAACTGCTCCATCCAAAAATGGTGAGAGGGCTGAAAAGAGGGTCTCTGTCAAATAGTGCAGGTCGTCCGAAAGCTGTAAGGGACGACTTGTTTTCACAGAAATCAAGAAGTTGAGAAGCTTGTTTGGCTTTCGGGTTCTTGTCAGATGTCAGGCTGCTTCTGTGCCACTTTACTGGAAGATGGCAGCACACAGGCCGGGATCTCGGCAACCTTGCGCGGGCTCTGCGGCTCCTCCCGTGGGAAACGAGTGCAGCCACGTGCGACCTGTTTGACAAGTCAATGGGTTCGAGGGACTACAACCCGCAATGCTCCACCACTAAGCTTGGCGTCGCGCTTCTGCCAGCCTGTAAAACTGCCGACCGTGGAACCTGAGTTTCTACCACCTGGAAATGCTTTTGCTACACCTCCAGCCCAACCGGAAGTGTTTCTGTCCGTGGCATGAAGCAGACTGAGGCGGACCCCATCCTCTCCATCACTGCGCCTCGCTTGCAAAGGGGCTGCAAATTGCTTCTTAGACGACGTTAGTCAAAATTGAGAACCCCACCTCGGCCAAAGTCCTAGAACCGTCGGAGGCGCATGTCGCAAGGACAGCGATGTAATCCGTTTACGCTTAAGCAGAACCCCGTACTGGTGACTTTTCGTTTGGGGAGTGATGAGAATAGTGTCCAATAGTGCTAGTAAGTCTAACCGTGTAGTCGCAGGGTGCAACGACCACCTGGATCCTTTTCCGCGCGCTGCGACTTGGCTTGAGCTGTGCTTGCGATCCGTGATGTGACAAAGGTGTGGCTAGGGCGGGCAACCCTCAGAGCATGGGGTGTTTCTGCCATTCCAAGGCACACAGCAGCCGCCTTGAAGCGCGCAGGCAGAGAGCTAGCATCTGAGGCCAGCCTGCCAGCCTTTCCTTTCAGTCTGCTTGCGGATGCGCATGTGATCGGTCTCACTCTCACACCAGAACCGAGAAAGCATTGATTCATGCTGATTGCGATATGCTCTGATGGTGGCGACACATCGCGACTGTGGGCATGATCATGATGATGATGATGATGTCAATGGGGATTGTATGATGGCGATGATGTGGTTAGCCATGAAGATGCTGCCACAATCGTCGCACTTAAACTGGTTGGACAATTATGACAAATATGGCAGGCCGCCCGCCACACTAACGATGATTATTCCCAGTAAAAATGTGGTTGTTCATTTGGCCCGCACAGTTCCGAGAGCAAGCCGGTCACGCCGCGGCAGCCTCTTGATTTCTTCTCGCGTGGCTTAAACCCTTTCTTGGAAACAACCGGCGAAAATGGCAGTAATCATGGAATCCATATTCGCACACATTTGGCAAACTCGGACGAGCATGAACATGACATGACAGCAATGTTTCTATGATGATCATGGAGCTGCCGCTGCTGCAGCTCCTGATTTTGGTTTCTGGTGGACGACACTTGCGATTCGCGATTGCTTCGGGTACCGGAGGTGAAGCGTGGGCGGTGGCACCTGCCTGAAGCGGAGCTGTGTTAGGCGCCATGCCTTGACCACGGCTCTTCACAGGGCTCGATCGTCAATGCTCCCTTCATCCCCTTCCACGAAAGGTAGCCTGACCACAGGCCGGCACAGGCCCAGGTCATCCGAGGCCACGAACAGGAAGGCCATCCTCACGCAAGCGGAGCGCAAGCGGCAAGCAGTTCTCTTAGGGTTAGTTCTGAGCAGGCTACATCCCTTGTGACCGGCCCACACGGAGCTACACGCCGGACTTGTATACCACCCTCGCCGGCAGAAGATACGACTCACTTCCTGCTAACTCAGAAATGGCAAGAGAACTTCGGCCACCTCTCGGCAGCTCCCGAGACGTCCGGCGCTCCCGAGACGTCGGGCGGTGACAAAAAATGCTGGTGCTGGTGTTGATAATTGGAAATGCTGCTGGTGTCGATGATAGGAGTATTTGCGATGACGATGGCGGAGTTGCTTGTTGATGTTGATGCAAGGTGTTATTCTCAGTGTGACTGTTTATTTCTTGACTGGCGTATGTTGTATACTCCACTGCATGATGACATGAGCTGATGTCGCGGGGTTGCTTCATTCTGCTGCACGGATCTCCTGCTTGTCGGAACCGCATTGCATAAACGAAGACTGCGAAACATGCTCATGATGATGAGAAAGAACTTGCTTATGCAGTTAGGCTGAAAAGAGGATGATGACGGTGATGATGATGATGATGATGATGATGATGCGGCGACGATGTTTGCTGGGATCAGACCACATCTGTGGCAACAGAGCAAGCCCCTGTCGGCAACCCCATCGTTGTTCTTGGCCTCGCTTGTCCCTCATGTGAGATTTGTGGTACCGCAGGCAAAGGAAACTCAGAGGCTTAGAGACAAGATGTCTCTACAAGATGGACCCGAGCAGGCCGATGCGTTGTGCTTGCTGAACTGCGCATTCCCGGTGCTTGTAGTTGGAGTGTGGCGCGTACACGCGCATGTAGTTTCCGCCACTTCTGGGACTTTTTCGGGGTGGGGTGGGGTGGGGGGGATGATTCCGTGCTTTTGGACTTCTGCAAGCCCAAAACGCCCCAGCTCGACTGTCTCCATCCAAACCCGAAGTATTGACCCCCAAGACTCCGCACCTCGAGTCGTTCTCCGTCCCGCGCATTCGGAGTCAAAGCCGGCATGGTGACGCAATGGCTTGCGCTGGCCTGATCTGCACGTTATCCTGCTTGGCACATGGATGTACTGCAGGAATGGCTGGAGTCTGATGTGGATGTTATCCTGCTGGGATGGAGTCTCATCTGGACGTTATCATGCTTGGCACATGGATGCTCTGCGGGAATGGATGGAGTCTCATCTGGACGTTATCCCGCTGGGATGGAGTCTGATCTGGACGTTATCATGCTTGGCACATGGACGTTCTGAAAGAATGGCTGGAGTCTGATCTGGACCTTATCCTGCTGGGCTGGAGTCTGATCTGGACACTATGGCGAAGCATGCCCGACGGGGCGCCGAGCTTGCCAGACGAAAAGGCCACTTTCCGTAACAACTACTTGCGATCAAGTACTCAAACAGCCTGTCCCCCAAAGTAGGAAAAATTGCCGGATCTGCTGAAACCCACCCCTGCCGATGTATTCTGCACGTCCATGACCCAGTTCAATTCGAGCAAGTAGTCAAATAGCCTCCCCCCCTAAAATAGGCATGCGTTGCCCAAGATGCTGAAAACCCACCCATGCCGATGTTTTCTGCACGTCCATGACCCTTTTCAATGCGAGCAAGTAGTCAAATAGCTTCCCCCCTAAAATAAGCATGCCTTGCCCGACATGCTCAAAACCCACCCCTGCCGATGTTTTCTGCACGTCCGTCGTTGAGAACATGCCTTTTGGCTGCGTTTGGGGTGCGTGGGAATGTCTCCGCTGCGTTTGGGGTGCGTGGGAATTTTGGCGCACTTCTAGAACTTTTAGAACTCCTAGAACTGTTAGCACTTTTGGAACTTTTAGAACTTCTAGAACTTTTAGAACGTTTAGAACCTTTCAGAACCTTGAGAACTTTTAGAACGTTTAGAACTTTTGGAACTTTTAGAACTTTTAGAACCTTTCAGAACTTTTAGAACTTTTAGAACTTGTAGAACTTTGAGAACTTGTAGAACTTTGAGAACTTGTAGAACTTTTAGAACTTGAAGAACTTTTAGAACTTTTAGAACTTCTAGAACTTCTAGAACTTGTAGAACTTTTAGAACTTGTAGAACCGTTGGAACTTTTAGAACTTTGTATACATACACGTATGTGCATGTATGTATGTATGTATGTATAGATATACATATGTATGTATGTATAGATAGATATACATACACACATACACACACTTACAATATAAATATACATAAACCAAAAAGACACAAACACATACATGTACATATCACTACATATATATCTGGACATACACACACATGTGTATATATATATATATATATATACAGGTGTGTGTGTATATATTTGCATAGATATAAACATACATCGACATGAAATATGTATTGTATGTCTGTACATATATGTGGTGGGGCTTCGGGCGTGTTTGGTGCAGCCTTGCTTCCTGAAAGGTGTTTGCTCTGATGATGTCTGTGTATGGTTCCGCAGTTTGAACCCTTCTAAAATTTTTACAACTTTCAGAACTTGTAGAACTTTTAGAACTTCTGGAATTTTGAGAACTTGTAGAACTTTTACAACTTTTGGAACATTTAGAACTTTTAGAACTTGTAGAACTTTGAGGACTTTTAGAACTTGTAGAACTTTTACAACTTTTGGAACTTTTAGAATTTTTAGAACTTGTAGAACTTTGAGAACTTGTAGAACTTTTAGAAATTTTAGAACTTTTGGAACTTTTAGAACTTCTAGAACTTTTAGAACCTTTTAGATCCTTTAGAACTTTTAGAACTTTTACAACTTTTACAACTTTTAGAGCTTTCAGAACTTTTACAACTTTTAGAACTTTTAGAACCTGTAGATCCTTTGGAACGTTTAGAGCTTCTAAAAGTTCTAACAGGTTTAGAAGTTCAAAAAGTTCTGAAAATTCGAAAAGTTCCAAAAGTTCTAAAAGTTCGAAAAGTTCTAAAAGTTCTGCAGTTTGAACCCTTTTGGAATTTTTAGAACTTTTAGAACTTCTAGAACTGTTAAAACTTGTAGAACTTTTAGAACTTGTACAACTTTTTCGACCCTTTAGCTGCTGAAACGCCCACGCGCCCCAAATGCAGTGAAGACGTTCCCACGCGCCCCAAATGCAGTCAACCCGCCTTTTGCACCACGCGCGGGAATGCGCCACAAACCTTGTAGTTTGCCTTGGACGCTTTTGCCATGCAGCTTCGCACTGCAGGCTGAGAAACTGCGGGGGGAGCTAGAGAAGTGGAAGCGAGAAGCAGAGACTCTGAGGACACAGGCAAGGCCGGCCGGCCACCGCAGTCACGGAAGCCCTTGGACCTGGGATTCCCTTACTCTGTGCCATGGTGAAAGCCGTGAAAAATCCGAACCCCCACCTCGAAGGCCAGGCATTCCCGTCACTGCACAGCTGTCTGCAGGTTGAGGCCATACAGAAGCAGGCCGCAAACCAAGCAGCAGAGCAACACGGCACAGCCTAGCCGTGTGCACCTAATGTTTGAATTGGGTCTTGTCGGTGGCGATGTTCAGCATTACTCTCGAGTAGGTGCCCGGTCTTGCATCCGGCCCTTTTGCTGTGCTGTCGCGCTTACCGGTGGGATCCCCGCCTCAGCTTGTGAGAGGGCTAGGTAGCAATGGACGGCAAAGCTTGTCCCAGCTGGGACAACTCTGGACATGTAAGTGGGTCCTCGGTTCTGCCATGCGTGTGCCAAATATCTTCAACAAGGAGTTGTCTTTTCAGGCGTCTGGTTGAGGCATTCTCCAACCTTTCCGGTATCACGTGCGTTCCGTCTCGGCCGTCTCTCGCATTGCTGGATGTTCCGTCAAGCACGAGGTATATGCGGCTCGACACCGAGAACAGGCCCGAGTCACGACAAGAGTCCTTGCAGCAATGCCTTTCATTGCATGCTGACATATTCGGATCGGGCTGTTTGTGCTGAGTTTAAAACCCACGACCGAAGACATTGGCCCAAAGTGAGGCTCTCTGCGTAGGGAGCAGTGATGGCTGAAGCGATGCCTGAAACAAACATCAGCGGGGCATCAGAGGCGGAGCCTGAAAAGGCTCCACCTGTCGAGACGAAGAGGCAGCGGGTCATTGAAGTTTCGACATTAACCATCGGGGGCAAACGCTAAATCGAGACATAACGGTGGATCCGGGCTGGCGACTAGATGTACCTAAGCCAGGATGATAAAAAGACTTGCTGTTAGGTTTAAGAAGAAACCCTGCCGGATGTTGACAAGCAAGTCGGCGTTGTAAAACGATGAGCTAAACATAAAAAGATATACCTTAAGCCATTGATTGCGCTGTGAAGCGATAAGGGTTACCCAAGTGACGACGTAGGAAGCATCACGCATGATGGGTGCCTTTTGCGCTCTCTCCAGTCCTAACTCAAATCTCCCTCCGACCCTGCAGACAAGTCTCGACATCCGAGCCATGAGAGACAATACCCAACTCTCGACAAAAGACACTCTCAGAGTCTTGGGTGCGCAGCCTCTCTACGAGTAGGATCTTCTCGTGAACAAGCAGGCCTGACGAGACGACATGTACAGCCAGTGTCGCTGGCGAGGGCGCGCAGGCCAAGTTGCAAAGCAAGGCGCCCACGCAGAACCCCGACTCCTGAACCCTAGCCCTAAAACAGGGCATCTCCGCAGCGGAGATGGAGCCCGGGTGCCCCTCGTGGCCCTCTGGGCCCTCAGCGGCACCGGAGAGCGGCATTGCTGAGCAAGCCGAGGCCGAGGCCTGCGTGCCTCTCCAGAATGCGCGGCAAGCAGCTAGTCTTCATCTATCTAGCTCTACCTGAACAGGGTCAGAGCGTGGGATAAAAGCATGATAACGGGGAATAGGTCTGGTCTGGCCAGGCACACTGTTGAACGGAAAGCAAGTAGTTACGAACCTATCCGTGGCATCCATGGAGTATGGATTGATGCTGACTGCGGGTCGGACTTCGTCAAAGATCTAGTGGCCAGAAACATGTGTACATGCATTCTGTCCGCCAGGATTTCTCCTCCGAGCCTCTCGGGGAACGATTGGCGAGCAAGGACCGGAAGTGGTTGTAGTCATGGCACTAACCTCCAGAAGCCACAAGCACCATGGTCACCGCTGCAGTAGCAGCTGTAACAGCATACCAAGAGAAAGAGCTGGAAAGCGCAGATTGTGCTTTCAAAGAACAGGACCTGGCGAGGAGATGCTCTGGCTATGCTGAAGCACAGGACGGCCGGGAAATCACGCAATGGAGCGGCTTTAGTGATGGCTTTGCGAGTTGCTAGTGTTATTAGCGGCGGTGTGTAGAGCCGTGCTTAAGTTTCATTGTTCTTGGGTTTGTTGCTGCTCCTCTTGTTTGTGCAGCTCTCACTGTAGGCCCTGTATCCACAGGTTTCACGGCACGCAACGGAGCTCCACACGGTGCTTGCATGTGCGAGTGTTTCCTTGCAGAAATGTCTGCCAGGCTGCAATGCAAACCTCAACCGACGAAGAGGTGTTCAGAGCATTCGGCAGTCACATCGAGACCTGCCTTGGCGAGTCCTTGCCGAAGGCATACACGACATCCCACCCCACTCCCTCGCATGTCCTCATGTTTGAAACGGGATATCGTTATCTGTGTGGTGACTGGTGAGGCTCAAGATGCAGGCCTCAGTGCGCCCTGGCAGGATTCAGAGTCACAGAGCCTTGAGACTTGAGAAGGGACGAGGTTCCGTGCTTTCCGAGATTACGGGAACACGGAGGGCTTGACTCGGCAAGCGTAAGCTGGATCGTGATCTGGCAATTAGAATCATGACGTGCCAGGCGTAGTGCTTATAATGAGCGAGCCAACCACGACCATACTGGTAACCATTTGAGCCGAGGCATTAGCTGCTTACTTGGAGAAATGCCCGCACATCGGCGATCGCGCTAGCGAGGTGCTGCCTTGGGTGCCTCGACGGGAAGGGTTGAGGCTCGCAGGAACTGCAGGCCTCCCACTGTCGCATATGTGCGCCATTGCTACTAGCGGGAGACATGGCCTGAAGTGGATGGGGAGACAATCAGAGACCACAGATGCATCCAGAACTCGCTGGCAGTACGGAACGTGTTGAGATGGAGGAGTGGCAGAGAGAGAGATGCATGTTTTGCCTGCGAACCTTTTGAATCAGACGAGTTCGTGGACGGACAAACTCGTATGCCTTCCCATATACGCTCCGGAGGAGGTGTCCAAGAGTGGAGGGAACAATCGTTTTCACATCAAGCCTTCAATTCCCTGGACTTGACCCGTCCCGCAAGCCCCTGAGAAGAGAAGAAGAGAGCATGACTCGGCCAATCGGGATGCGACTAAGTGCGACCTGAGCTGAGGTGCGGAAGCTCTCAGAGCACAAGGCTCGTCAAAATCGGCACGTCGACTTTGAAGGTTGCATGTTATTGCTGAACTGAAAGTCGACATGCTTAATGACGCAATTGGTTTGGTATTCCAGGGATTGATGAAGCCCTGCACATGAACAAATAGCCAGCAATGCCGCACGCAGACCATTGACAAGCCCAAGATGCAGCAGCTTGCCCCGACGATCATATTACTCATTGCCGAGATCGCTGCTCCCTGCATGCATGGCGCAGGTATTTTGTGTCTTCGTTTTGGACTTTCAAGAGCATTGTATCGCTTGCCATAGGGATGGCCTTCACCAGCTCGCGGCGGGTAGTGGTGACATCTGACCGCACTTAGGAGTGCCCAGCCGTCCTGAAAGAGCTCACAAACTGCATAGCAGACCTGGAAAGTGCCAAGCGCCGAAGACGCAAGAAGACCTCCAACGGAAGAGGGACAGAGCAGCGGATGTTAGCTTCATACCTTGCACAGGCCCGCATCAGCTAGCACATGTGAGGAAGAAGACTGCGGGCTTCTTGAAGAAGCAGCTCGCGTTCATCATTAAAATGATCGGTGGCATATCTGCACAAAGGTTTGAGAAAAAGAATGTCGGAACAGGGTTTCATGGGACACTCCTTCACCGCCTGAAATTCAATTCGTAACCATGGCAGTCCTGAGGGGCATCAGATCTCCACAAGCTTCGCATCACGCATGCTACAAGGTTTGCTCCTGGCCGACTTCGGTGTTCAGAAGCTGCCACCCAAGCTGGGATATGTTGGCATCTTCACTCAACGAGCCGAAATTGTCAAAGTGTTGTACAAAGACGGTGTGTGCGAAATATTCGTGATGTGCAGAGCGTCTGATGGAGCAGACTCCGCCTTCTGAACAGAATAGTGTCAGAGCGAATGTCGTTTCGGCGCTCTATGCAGCTGAGGCATCGTGCAGAAGTATGTGGCCGACAGCGACCGCATCCTGCGCGAAGCATGCTACGGCAGCTCAGCGGCACCGGCGGCACCGGGAGACGGAAGCTGAGAGGCTTTGGCTCCTCTAAGGAGTGCTGTTGGAGCTGGCACTATGGCTCGGCGACATCACAGAGTTCACCAAGACCATGGATGAGCCGCAGAAGAAGGAGGCTCACCGTAGCTTTAGAGCCACGGCTGACACGGTGCAGAGCTCCAGGTCGCAAAGCGTCTGGAGGAAGTCAAGGAATCCGGCAAAGCTGCAAAGCGTGGCTACAGAGGCAGATCGCCTCTGACCACATGACAGTTGTCAAGACAACTTTCCATGTAGCTGCGGCTGAGTTGCCTGAGAATTCCATCAACTCTCCTTTGCACCACTATTGCCAAGGGGATGCCGCCGCTCCAACGGCAGCCAGTGCCAGTGCAGGCTTCTGTGCAGCTGTTCATCGCGATTTGATCACGACTGCTTGTGCAGCGGAGCCCATTTACTGCCGCCAGGTGATCTCCTTGGTAAAGTCGACCCGTTCCTCAAGCTTCCGAAAGGCATCCCTGTTCATGGCTTCATGACATCGCTTTCGCTCCAGTCTCCAGATTGTTAAAAGGATTATGAAAACGATTTCATAAGTGTCGCAACAGAGTGTGAGCGCCCACACGTCGCAAATCGCAACCACGTGGTATGCAGCCAGCACCCTCAAAGTCAAGCTCAAAACAAGCCCGTTTTTCGAATGCGAGGATGGTGCATTACCAACGTTACCTCTATGGAGAAGTGGAAGGAAAAGCTTCAGCATCTTCAGGCCGCCGGGCCGTTGGAGAGACTTTTCAGGGATCATGACATCCTGCGTGGGGCCGCGCTTGGCCGCGCTCCTGAGGTGTTGTCCGATATCTTGGAACACCCAGCTGAGCAGCACCGTCTCGCGCCGGGCGACGGCTATTCTTCCCTGGTCCCTACCATCCAGCGGATGATCAAAGGCGCTTTTGCTTCAACCGCATAGTTGTTCTTGCAGCACCCGCGACAGAACTTGACAGAACCAAGTCTGTCTCTAGGTAGGAAAGGGGCCTGATAGGCTTGAAGCCTTCCGGACAGCTTCACCGTGACTGTACTATTTGGTTCATCGCATGCGAGCATGTCCAAGGTGAAAGCAACATTCCTGTGCTCACCGAAGTAGCCAAATGCAACTTCGGCCGCGACCAGCCATCTTTGCCCCGTTCCGCGCACAGTTCTCTTCCACAAGGCAAGACATTTCCTGGGCTGACTCGTGCTCCGAGGCATGGGCTTGATCTCCAAGGGTCTCCGGCGAAGTTTCGAGAAGCATGCAAAAGCCCTCTTGCCCGTCGCCCTGACTCGGATCACCGACAAGAGCAGCTTGTCGGATGTTGAAGCACACAATAGCAAGGCCAAAGGGCGTGGCACGCTTCGTTTCTCGAAGCCGGTGCGGAAGTTTGATACAGAAGACAAGTCTAAGCGTCTCCCAGCCTGCTCGCAGACTGCTTAGAAGTTAGCTGTTGGCTTAGATCCCTCTTGGTGAAGAGGTTCTTGCCGAGAAACTGCTGCGGGTTCTGGCTAGGATTGCTCA